GACGCCTCCATCAGTGTGGGTGTCAGAGTGATGCTGTTGGGGGGAGGTCCTTGGTTTCTCGTGATTTATAGTGGACATGAAATTGAGGAAGCAACAATTAGCAGCAGCAGAGGTTTTAGAGCAGTGTTGCATTATTTAGGATTGACCGCTCCTTTAAAAGACTTTTTGGCTTTGTGTCTTTTTGCAGAGCATCGTTCATTATAAAATCCATCTGAAACTTTTAAATCTTTATGAACCAGAGCAAATCCTGACTTTATCATGGGCTCCTCCCCCTCTGCTTCCTTTCCTCCTCCTTCCTTTTCCTTCTTCTCCTCCTGACACCTTTTATCCTCATCTCTCTGCCAGCCTGTCTCCTCCTCTTCGCCCTTCTCCTCTTTATCCTTCATCTTTTTGATCCCCCTCTTCTTCCCTCCACCTCCTTTCTTTTCCACTCTTGCTCCTCCTTCTTTACCTCCTTCTCTTCTTCATCCTGTCTTGCCCTAGTTCTCGTCCTCTGCACAGCCCCGCCAAATGTTTCCCCTCGTCCTCCTCCTTCTTCTCCTACTCGTCATCCTCTTCTTTCTCTTCCTCCTCCTCTTCCTCTTGCTCCTGCTCTTGTGTTTGGCGGCCAGCACTCAGGGATATTTGGACATGAGTTTGAAGCATCGTTATTACTGAGGCTAGAGGGAATGTTTAGATCAATATCACAGAAATGCAAGGCAGCAGATTAGTGACAGGAAGTTCATGTATCAGGTAACAGAGCAGGTCTCATATGTGGTTGTTTTCCCCTGTCCTCTGCACTTTTTTAATGTTGTACCAGTCTAGATAAAACAGAACAACCAACACGGCAAACACAAAAACACAAGTGCTGCACATTTATCCAGTTATGGGTGTGTCTGAGTCAGAGCAGAGCAAAAATAAAATGATCAAATATCAGGGTGGTATTTTTAGTCTGATTCTCCAGCTCAGCTCTGCTGGTGTGCACTCACTTTCCAGCCATTCAATTCTATAAAAAACCCCAGTAACTAATCAAAAGTTAGGGAATGATTTCAGCCTTCTTTTTTCCCCTTTAATTCTACTTTCAAGTCAGAGAAAATTAGATCACATCCTCATCACTTCCTTTGTCGTCTCTTTACTTGGCATCGACCAGCCAGTGACACAGCATTTAGTTTTGGCTCATGTAAAAAAAAAACAAAAAAACAGCAAATATATTTCTGACCAGAGAGGAAGCAATCACCACCGCAGACTGAAGAACTGTTTTGTTCTTTAATGTCCGTGGTTTACCTCCCGAATCCAAAGCCTTTGTACATTTTCACATCATGTTTCTTATGATGGTGCATTTTCCAAACATTTATTATTCAAAGACTTGTACAAGAAGGTCGGTATCAGTAGAACTTCAATGTGATCTGTGGTTTGGTAATTCTCCTCAGGTTTCGTCTCCATTTCTTTCTCTGGGTACAAGATAGTGGAGTGGAGATTGTTCTCAGACCAACTTTCAGTAAATGTTTGGCAGGTTTTGAGCTTAGATTAGAAACTCATACCTTTTTTTTTACCTTAACCCCCATTTTAAACCCCAAGCTAAAAATATTGTTCATTGCTGTGTAATAAAAAAAAAAAGAATTTCTCAGGTTAAGAACTCTACTGCATTGACTTTACTAAACGGTTTTTAAGCTCCCGCGGGCCACACAGAATGGCTTGGGGGACCACATTTGGCCCCCGGGCCTTGTGTTTGACAAGTATGATTAAGATGGAGTAACAAATTAAATTTTTTGTAATTATCTTCCATTGCTATTTGTACCGGTATTGAAATTATTTACTTTAACTAATTACTTTTACTGCCTCCAGAGCACAGAGTCCTGGGTTTGATTCCCAGAAGAACCACATGCATGGCCACCTGCCAGGGGCAGCCTGTTAATGCAGATCTGCTGGTAACACAAGAAAGTACAATAAAATTCAAATTATTATTATTATTATAACTTCATGGTTCATGCTTCTTTTTCAGAATTAGTTTGATAAAAATAGAAAGTAAACCTGGCCGAGTATTTCCGTTCAAATTTGACTTTAACTGCAGCTAAATGAGACATGTGAGTGGAGTGCAGTGATGGAGGAAACATTGAAAGATTGTTCTGTTCTAGTTGTGACTGGAGTTTTAAGTTAGTTTTAAACGGTGTTAATGGATTGAGTGCAGTTATGCTTTGGTTGGAGAAAAAAAGAGGAAAAAGGTGGTGAGAAGTTGTTCAGTTCACAGAGACACTCAGCTTCATAAACGGTGATGAGAGCTGTCGGACTGGCTAATGTGAGGCAGGTCATGTGCCACATGTGAATGACTTTACTGCCGATCGCTTGTCTGTAGACATCACAGACGTGATCATAATTCAGAAATCAGGTTTGTGTCAAATGCTTTTCACGTCTGCATGGAATAATTCACTTTGAAGTTCAATTGATGACAATCTGATATGAAATGAAAGAAGCTTCAGGATACACCCGTGGGCTGCCCAATGAGTATACAATATATACTGTATCTGTGGTGTGTAGTAGTGACCATATACTGTAGGAATTGAACTATATTGTTCCATAGAGCTCCATGTTTTGAATCAGTTCCATATATTGTCTATGGAAGGTATATTAACATTTCAATGGAGGTAGATGACTTGGTTATTTGAATAGTAGTTCCCAAACCAAAGCAGTGAGGACATACTTCATATACACACTCATTCAGGCATGCAGTCGACGCTTGCTCACACATCTGCCTTACAAGCAAAAGGTCCTGGGTTTGAGCCCCAGAGGGACCACATACCTGCCGACCCCTGATAGGCAGCCTGTAACAGCAGCTCTGCTGTTAACACAGCAGCTACCTCAGTGTGGGGTCAGTAAAGTTCTCCTTTTTTTAACAAGATGTTTATGTTAACCATTCATCCAATTCTGTGGAGCAAAGACAAATGAACAGCAAGGCCAAATGAATGACAGTTTAAGACGATAAGATTAGTATGGCCTCACATAACAAGGAGCTGCTTATTGTCTCTCAGCAAACATTTAGATGAGTGACACGACTGACGAAGAACAGACAAATTCACTGGGACTGAATCAAACAACTGCAGCGTTGTCCAATCCGTTTAGTTTGTGTGACCAACATTCACAGACTATACACTGTTAGAGCTTTATGGATGATTAACATTACAGTTGTAAGACAGAGAGGCAGAGAGAGACAGAGAGAGAGAGAGAGAGAGAGAACAGACTTGATTCAGGGACTTTCTATAGACCTGGTCAACTCGTGATCCCAGGCTCTTCCAACAAGAGGCAAATACTTTTGTTTTACACAGTAAAATTTACACAGTACACACTGTATATATATATATATATATATATATATATTCTTAGAATTAAAGAGCATCTTTGAACTAAGAGAGACTTTTGAGAGTCCTGTTGTAAACTGCGGCAGCACGGAGAAGCTGCTTTCTGAGGACAAACAGAACGAGTGTTAAAGAATTATTTTCTCCATGTTTTATGGTGTTTTAACAACTGATCTAAATCATGATTTTAAGCGCACAACTTAATTTGATTCTTCACACGGAGGGAAAACCATAATTCAACCGTCAGACGATCAGATTTTAATGAGCAGCCGATGAATATCTGTATTTTAAAGAACTAAACAAACAAAAAAGTTAAAATTTAGTCCTATACAAAAAATGAATGAAATGCCTGAATATATTCTGAAGTAGGTTTTTAAACCAAAAGCTCAATCACTTTTAATTTTATTTTTTGAAAACACGTTGAGATTTCTTTAAACTTTTATTTACTATTATTCAACCTATTATGATCTATTTACGTGTCTGTACAAAACTGTACTGTGTTCTTGTAGTGTAAAAACAATCTGCACCTGTCTTGTGACCACCACATGAGGAACCTTTAATTATCGGAGCTTTAATCACAGAGAAAATTAGATTTGACCACTCCGTCCATTCTGTTTTGCAGGACAGGACTTTGTCTTTAACAACATGTCGTCACTGACTGAAATCACTCTTCAAATATTCATCTTCCTTAAATATTCTGTAATCAATTTTTATTCACGGCAACAGAACCTTAAAAACCCAGATGTTTGGGACTGGGCCGATCTCCCCCCGCCCTCCTCCCCCTCAGTGAATGAATCCTCGTGGTCAGGGGTCACAGCCTCTGCTGTCAGCCCCTGTCCATCAGTCAGAGGCTCCAGTTGTATAAAAAAACAACATACCAGCAGCTAATTTGTTTCCTTGTACAAAATGAATGATGGCGGATCAGATGCATTTCAGCGTAGGCACAATGTTAAGGTCAGATCTCAGATCAGCTCTCTGGTGTTCACGGTATCTGGATGTCAGATAATCGGACAAACACGTATCTGTTCTCCAGGGCCACGGACATTCCTGGGACTGTCCTCTCAGCTGAGAAGTTAGTCAGTCATGAGACCATAAGTCATCCTTTATGCCTGTCACACTGACACATACTGTACATGTTTTTCTGTGACCACTATAACTCAGAGATCAGTTGTACTATAACTTAAATTGGTTTAATTGAATCAGTCAACCCACCTGTCTACACACATTTACTGTAAATATCTACACACAAAAAACTTTTACTTCATCTTGTCCAAGACAGAACTTCATGATTGATCTGTTGGTCATCAACCCTTTTGTGATGATCTCTGTATCCCATCAATATGTTTGGTGACAGATTGTCCTGAAGTAAACCAGCTCAGTCTTCTACTTCTTAAATTCTTTAGCTCAGTGGTTCTCAAACTGTGGTATGCGTACCACCGGTGGTACGTGAGCGCTCTCTAGTGGTACGCGGGTTGATTTTTTCACATTTACATTTTCAGTTGAAGTTTGAAACATACCATGCACAATAATTACAACATTTAAACATAAACATCTTTCTAAACATTTCTAAACCTCTCTCCTGTGGTGGAAGCTAACAGTGAAGGCCTCTGCTGCTGTATTCTAATGTTGCTCATCATGGTGGTACTCAGAGAGATCAGTGTTTTCTCAGGTGGGACAGAGTAGAAAAAGTTGGAGATCCGCTGCTGTAGATTACAAAGCTCGGTTTTCAGGCGACTTTGACTGTAAGATTCAGGACAAACCAAAGAGGACTGAGATATTATTGACTGAGGCTGTTGTAAATGCATCTGGTCTGTTGTCCTGCTCGTGGTCAGATGTCTCCTATCACATCCCAGTTTCCTCCCAAGGCCAGGAACTTAGTGTAGAGCAGAGGAAAAAACTCTGAGCACTCTCTCTCTCTCTTTCTCTCTCTCCCTCTCTCTCACACACACACACACTCTCTCTCTCACTTTCATATCACTTAATTTACATTAGGCTAAGAGCGTATTGCAGATTTATTGATTACCTACACCATCTTTAATGGATGGTATGAACTGCACATGCGGTCACCTGAGTACTGACCCAGGAAGTGGAGGGTGAAGCCTTTCGGGTTAAGACATGAAGTCATCTATACTTTCTGGTATAATGTATAAAAATGAACAAGAGTCTTTTTGCCGCTTTAAAGGTGCAAATACTGCCACCCTCTCTCTCCCTCTCTCTCCCTCTCTCTCGTGTACAGAATCTCTGTGATTCATCTGTCTTTTAAACGTCCTCAGTGCAGCCCATTGTGTTGCAGCAGCAGAACGTGTTTGTTCAGTGAGAGTGTGCTGACTAAGCATGGTAGATGGAGCGCTTCTGGGGCTTTACTACGCTGCAGAGAAACTGACTTGGCCTGCAGAGAGACCGTAAACCCAGGCTGAAGCGCCGCAGCTCTGTGATGGCTCTGCAGACACACACAACTTCAACCTAGTACACAGCAGACAGGAGGAAGTGGGACAGACGCAGTACGGCCGTGTGTTTAAAGAGCAGCTGTAGCTGTCAGCTGTGTTCAGCCACGTACGTGTTGTTCCTCCTCCAGTGGCCACTCCCTGAATACCAGCTACTTCTGCAGCTGTTGGTTCTGCTGCTGCGGCTGGTGTGGTCCTGCTGACTGACATCAGACCCATGGATACTGCCTTACAGTCAACCTAAACCCCACTATGTGCACATTTTTACAACAGGTTTGGAACATATTTATTTAGTGCGGAATCACATTTTTTATACCTACAGTTTGGGGACAAATTCTTTAAACTAAAAACCTAATAAAAGCTACACAATAGCAATAATGCTAAACCACGACACATAATTCTTTTTTTGCAAAACAAGAATGATTTTACTTGTGTATTTTAGGGAGGACAAAACAAGTCCAAAGTTCTCCGTCAACCCACGGTCCAGATTGTGGACACATTTGTCTTCTGTCCAGCATTTAGGTCTGTTATCTTTCCTTCTGTTCAGTCCCTGCTCAACTAAGTGAAACATAAACAGATAAATTTCGAGTAAAAGTCACAGTTTTAGTCTCAGTGGAGCCTCATCTGATTTAATTTTATCCTCAGCAACCACAGTGAGAACATTTGGTCCTGTTGTTCTTGTTGGAGCCAAATTGACAGGAAACTTCAAAAACTGATTACAGTCAAGGTCATTTATTGGAGAATAATTTAATTTGCCTTTAGATGTAGTTTTTGGTAACAGGACTTCTCTACTGACAAAAGTCTAGTTTCTATGATTCTATGAGCAAACATTCCAACTCCTAACAGCTCAAACAGCTCCTCCTCGTCTTCTTCTAAATCGCATCAGGAAACATGGGGGAATTATTATTTCACTCGTTCTTCCAGTGTGGAAAGTTCTGGTTGAAGAGCCAGAGGGTCTGATTTTCATTTCGATCAGGATTTTGCACAGTCATTCTCCCCAGAATTATCAGTCCATACCTGCTTTTTGAATAATCGGCCACTAGAGGGTAGCCTCTGCTTTCTTTCTTCTTTTTTTTTCATTTTATGTATATTTTATTTTCCCGAGCGGAGATTCACTGTGGTGCTTTGTGTGTTGCGTTGGGTAACAGTGGGTTTCAGTGTTATCAGTCAGGGGTTCTAATAAGGTTTTTATTGAATAGTTCAATAAGAATTATATAAAGATTTTCACAAAACATACACATCTTTATCATTTTCCTGTCACACCTTTTGCTTACTAACATTTAAATTACAATTCACAAGAAAAATAAACAGAATTGTGCTTCTTCACACCCTCAGTACTTTTAAGTTAGTAATAAATAACACTGCAGTGATCTGATCTGAGATCCAGTTATGTGTTGATTCTGTGTGTGTGTGTGTGTGTGTGTACAGAGCCACTTAGAACAAAAACATGTTGTTGAGCAGCAGTAGTTTTGCTCCTCCCACCACCTTATTTGATTGGTCTAATAGTCCGCGTCCTGGGAAAACAAGATCTTTTGTAAACTCCTCCTACACAAGTGACGTAGGTTGCTTCCTCTTCCTCCTCCTCCTCCTCCTCCTCCTCCTGGTCCACTGCCTCTTCTCTCAGCAACTCCACTGTCAGCCTGTCAGGATGCATTTAGCTCATACACCAGCAGTGTTCAGTGAGAGCAGGAAAAAAAGAGCTGGAGGCAGGAAGTGATGATGGTCCTAGTAACACCATAATGAAGATCAGATCTAGATCCAGAGGGAGACCAGGTTCAGTGGCAAGGCACGTTGTGGACATGGGGATCAGAGGACTGGTGGTCCTGGTCTGTGGTCTATGGTTGGTGGTGTTGAATCGTTGTTGTTCGTCCAGCAAAATAAAGCACAGTTACATTACATCATTCAACAGAGGTCCGTGGCTATCAGGAGTGTCCTGGTTCACTGACGTACAGAGGTAGAACAGCATTAGAGCATGTTGAGAAAAAGTCCAGAATCCTTCACTCGGATGGAAACAGCACGATGTTCCATCAAAACTAATATAAATGACAGCAGAGAGCAGACTTTACACGTTAGATGAACATAAACATCTCCAGCTGTGGAGGATCAGGGTTCAAGAGGCCAACCCACATTTGTCCATTTAATTACTCAAAGATTAAAAGTATCTACAAAGATGTAGGGACTCCTTCCATGTCCATGTTTGTTTTAAAACTAATAAAGTGTAAAAAAAAAGAAAAATAATTATTTAAAACATTGCAATAATAATCATAATTAAACACAGGTGTCTGCTGCCTCTCGGGGATCATGGAGACATGGCAAAAGTTCAGTTCTACAGTCAGAACTGGACTTTTTTAAGTAAAAAAAAACTGAACAAAAATGTGAACAGCAGTGTTATTTAAAAAAAGGAAAGAGCCAGGACTTAATTCTAAAAGGCTATTTCTGGAGTGTAATGTTTCTATAAATTTTAATTTTGCAAATGGTAAGAATTTCTTACCAAGTGTTCTTCATAGTGCAGAGATTTATAAAAAAAAACAAAACCGTGGTATTAAAAAGTTTCCATTTGTCATGGGTTCTTTCAACGCCTCGTGTCAAGGGGTGGCTCGTAAAATAAAAAAGCTTCACGCCCTCTTCAGTAATCACATTGAATCCTGTCTGTTACTACACTTCCTGTGTGTGAGTACTGCAATCATCCTCCGGTCAGTTGATGAACACTACAGAGGTGAAGTGTGTCAGACAACTTCCCAATTACTCAGATGACTCATGCACATTTTTATGTCATTTCTTTTTGAAAAGACCTTTGGTATGTGGCTTTACATACTTTGAAATAGCCCACATCTAGTGTTCACGAAATGGGTCACATCCTGAAATTGTTTTTTGGGCCATCCATGGCAATGAATTACAGGTTTTTAATGACCCTCATCTGGTATTGTAGTTAGTTTGACACCCAATACCAGACTTATGTTGGGTCAGACAAACCAATCTAACTCAACACACGGGCAATGGAAAGTCGGGTTTAGTTATATTTTTGGACAACGTTCTGTAGCTGATGTCGATGAAGACTATAGATGAAGACCGTCTGGTTAAAGGTTTGATGTCTGAGTAAACTTCCATGATCCCGTTTCTCCAACCCTGAGAGTCTGCTTTTTTCTTTTAAAAGTAGGGCAGTAACTATATTTAAAAGCATCATGTACATTAAATAGAAAAAAAAAATTAAATAGATATTTTAGTTCAAAATCATCGTAGTATGTAAACAAAAAGCCTTAGAAAATGACAAAGCGGACACTCGGCCAAGCTTGTTCCCTGTCTTTGTCCAAATAGCTGCAAACTGTTTCTTGAGATTTAAATGGCTGAGTCCAACCCGTTGATCAGGACTTTATCAGGATTTCCATGAGGTGGTCCAGATCATTAAGGTCCATCAGACAGGATGGAAGGCTCCCTGGTGAGCTGCTGTGAGCAGGCGGGCACAGTTTTATCTCCTCATCTGTCCACAGGGACATGCTCATGGGCCACACTGAGCCAGCACCCATGGCAGTGGACAAATCAGTAGTCTCATACATTGAGGTGTCAATGTCCTCAAAGATATCATCCAGGGCCAGGTCGCTGAGGTAGCCCATGGCGTTTACTGCGTCGCTGATGGAGCAAATGTCAAATTTGTGAGCCTTGTGTGGGTCAGATGAGTTGTTTGACTCCTGACTGATAAACTCAGAGGACAGTGTTGGAGGTGGAGGAAGGTCGTCATTGTCTACACACCCGCGACACATCACAGGCACGTCCTCCTCCCTGAACTCTGCCTTGACGTGATGGGACTCAGGTTGGACTTTGTAGTCTCCTGCCCCGTCACTCCTCATGTCCCCCTGGATCTGACGTAGCGTGTTGACAAGTAGCACCGAGCGCCGCAGGCTCAGTTCCACTCCGGCCTGGTACCTCTGCAACTTCTCCAGGCAGAGGCTCAGTACCACCTGACGCTCCAGGAGCTCGTTGGCCTTGGCCTCCTTCTCCTCATCTTGTTTCTTTTCGTGCGTGGTCACAGGAAGGAGCTCAGGCTCCAGCTCATCCAAACAGCTCCACTTTCGCTTTACACCTCGACCCAACATCGACCTTAATGCAGATTAGAGACAAGTTCAGGCGTCAAAACAGAATCTAACATGTGGACTACTACACTTTTTTATCATTATGAATTCATCAGTAGTCACTCAGTAGTAGGGCTATAACTATAACTTTTTGCTCTATAGCTATAACTTTTTTCTTATTATTACTTTTAGCAATTTAGTGTGCATAAATCGATATTTTAGCCATTGTGAGTCACTGACACTTTACTCATCCAGTACAGACATAGGTAACACACACCCATCACTACAGTCTCATATTTATTTTGAAACAATATACATTGATTACATATCTTTGATTTAGATTACTCCTCTTCCAATAGGATTATATTTTTAACCTAAATTAATGGTTCTGAATGTAATTTTAATACAGAAAATTCAAACATCCTGTTACATAATGAAAGGACCTGGCTCTATCCTCTGGCTGTTCCATTCTAAACAAAGCTGGAAGAGTAAAAAAAAAAAAAGTGACTCAGTTGACTACACTCAGTTGACTACACCAGTACTATGTCCGATGTCTCCACTTCTGACAGAGGTAAACTGTCCCAGTACTATGTCCGATGTCTCCACTTCAATCAAGTTTAAGTGGGGAGGACAGTTACAGATATTGGTCAAATGAGACAGGAGAATAAACCCACCTTCCGTGTCCTTGTCCTTGAACAGAATCATGAGGTACAGTTGAAAACCTGCCTCCGTGGCTGTCAGTATCTCTCGGCGACTTGTTCTTCTTCTTGGGCTCGTAGATCCTATGGATCCTCACAGACTAAGGAATGTTCCGTCACTGCAGCCACCGCTGACACACACGTAAGAGGCGGAGCCACAGTATCACGTTCTCGCCGCTGATTGGCTTTACCCTGCTGATGACGAGTTACCCTAGTCATTATTTGGTGGACTGTGGCGCTGCACGAGCCTCCGCCTCCGTCAATCACGGGGCAGCGAATGTGCGGGCGTTTGTTCGCGCACGGACCTTCTGTTGCGTTCAGGCGCATCACGAAAAAGACAGGTGATTTTTTTTTAACGACACACGTGCGACGCTGAGAGGGAAATACGGCCAGGGACGTAAAGATGTACCCTTTCGGTTGAAATATCTCCAACAACAAAGGTACACTTCTTGGAATACAAGTTGAACCACCTATATTTGTCACTCAGCAAGTTCTCTTCGAACTTTAAGCTAGGTTTTGGATAACATTTATCTGTTTGGCTAACACTCAGCTGATTATTACACTATTTTAGTTTTTTCTGGAGTAGCCATCTACTGGCAGTTTTTTAATGTTTTGTTTTTTTATAGATCGACCCTAGGTTGTGCTTTTTGTACCAAATAATAATAATTCGTTTCATTTATTTCTAAATACAGCCTCCGAAATGTTTCTCACTTCACCGTCTACAAACGTCGAACAACCGTAGACTCTAGAAATCTTGTAAGCTTTGCGTGAGCACCTGAATGCAGCATTTTAAAGGGACCAATGACTCAGAAGGTAGGCGCGAGAAGGGCTGTGACCGGAAAAGCGAGGAGGCTAATTACCAAATAAGGACATACACATTACATTTTTTTCCCTTCCAGTTTCTTCTTCCTGAACCTGTCAGAGCCACGTTTATTACATTTGTGTTGTAGTACGTTCCAGTACGTCTGTCTTGTTCCCCATTTCTCCAGTGTTCAGTCACGACTGCAAAGTTGCTGCTTTCGCTCGGCGACCTACGTTTTATATAATCGTTTTATTTTTTGTGTTTAATATATTAATATTCCATTATTCCTACTTCCACATTAATATATATTATCACCTTAATGTTTTCTGGAGAAATTTCTGGTTTATTAGCACCAACTGTGTGAGCAGTTTGATACATTTAATTCCATCTCTTCTTCCTGTCTGAGTAAACTTTCAGGACTTGCTACTGAAAATGTTTATCCCACAGTGTGTTGTATTTTTTAAAGTAACTTTCTTTTGCTACCATGTGTTACACTTGCTCTTGTAACAACTGAATTTACCTGGTGTGGGGTTAATAAAGCCACCAACCAGTGGTTCACATCTGGTATTGAGTCTGTTACCTATTACTTATTCAAGTGCGAGTAAATTCGGATCCACATTCTAGATACCTGGATTCCAGGTGTGGTGCCATTAAAAGTCCTGTTATCTGTTTATTTAGAACTTTGGTTAAACTCTCAGGCCCCTTAAAAATGATCTTTTTAAGTAGGAAAAACACATGTTTATCTGAAACAATGTTCCATCCTATATCTTGTGCTTCATTAAACACTGTTAACACACTGTCTCACTCTTCAGCAGCATGTTTATTCTTTTCCATGTTTTAGCCTGATACAAAGACATTAATGTGTCTGTCTCTGATGAATTCTGTCTTTTTCGCTTTCTCCTTAGGCTTCATTTTTGCTGACTCACAGAGAAGTGATTAATCTTTAACCATGGTCCAACCAAGACTGGGCTGCAGGCCAACGTGCACCGTAAGCTGCAGGCATTTTTAATGCCCTTTGACTGATTCAGACTTGAGAAAATTGTCTTGTTTATCTACACTAATAACCTGAGAAGTCTCTGCTAGCATAAAAGTATCATTTGTTAAATAGGAAACATTTAAAGAGATTTAAGTGAAAGAAATATTGGGTTTGTCCTAAACCCAATATTTCTTGGCTATCATTAAAATCTCTATTCAGTGTTCCACTTTACAAACTCTAGTTTAAATTAGTTTTGTAATATGGCAGATTGTTTGAGATATTTGTAATTAAAAAGTCCTGTTGGTTTGAAGGTAAATATACTGTACCTTCAAACCAACAGGACGTTTTGCAAAACAATCATTACTAATTAACTACTGCAAATACAATAACCTATACATCAGAAGAATGAGAATGACAATCAAACCAGACTGTAAATAGTTGCACCTTTTATTATAAAAAATATTTACAAAGATGCTACAATGTTTTTTTTTCATTTCCTTGATATAAAAAAAATGCATACATTTTACAATGGTAATTAGTCTTTAAAGTTCTAGCTCCCAATCAGACCAGAGTGACATCCTTCAGGAGTGTGGCGCTCAGCTATCAAGTCTGTGGTAATACTGTACTTGATTCATAACATCCTGTTTGCCTGAGTTTATCTGCATCACCATCAGGAACAATTGGACAAAAATGCATTTGATTTTTTTCTTCCACATCTTCAGGAGAAAAGGCAACTGTTTTGCATAAAAGGACTTAATGGACAGTGGAGTTGTATACAATCATTGTAGAAACATGTATGACAGAGCTGCATAGTGATTTGAATATTAACCCGGTTCCTGTAATACTAGTAATAGTATTAGTGAAGTTAAAATGAAAACGTGAGTAATAAGTCATTACTGTATTCAAACAGAGGGCTGAATTTGGATACATATAATTTCATCTGGCCAATGAAGTCTGTACCTAGATAAAATAAATACAATAAATAAAAACAATAAGTTAGAGATGGGTTAACAAAAAGAATTCTTCATTTGTAGTTCCAACAAATGACAGAAAGAAATATGGCTTCTTGATGCAGTTATCAGTCCAGGGTTTCTCCAAACGCTTATGAAAAAAAGCTGCTTTTGTTTATTTCTGAGGTGTCAAGGAAAAAAGAAAGAGCAGGATCTCTGCCTGAAGTGGTCAGCTGGTTAATGTTAACTTCTGAGAAAAGAAAAATCTAAACCAGTATTGGGTCAGTACTTTGGTTGGTTTCCCAGTTAAAAATGTACTCTGTTTAGAAGATGTGTTAATTAAATGTTAGTTCTCAACTGTGACTTCAACCAGGGTGACCACTGATCCACCACCAGAGGGGGCCTTTGCTGGTTGTAGATTAGAAAGTAGTTTATCTCCACATCAGTGTAATACCAGGTTTGATTTACAACACCAGTAAACATTAGAAAACCAAGCTTATGGTTCCAATCATACTAATTATTTTCAACACTAATTGAGCTGCTGCCTTATGACTGCGTCCACTTCTAATACAAAGCCCATGTTGGTGGTCAGTAGTAAATTTCTTGCCCTGTGTAAAGCTTTTGAAGAAAATATGAAAAACAGCGCCAATGATGTGACAGCAGACAGCGGCTATTTCTTTATCAAAGTGTGGGAAGACAAGGTCTCAAGTCTGGCTACATTTTTTTAAATCACCTGGGATGGTGAGAGGGAAAAAAAAATATCAAATGATACCTGTAAAGTTCCCCCAACTGTAATGCAAAAAAATATATTTCTATATACACATACATACATATACATATATTCCATTCATAATTGCTCAAATCTTTAGGAAAATATGCATTGATTCATAGATTTGGATTTACAATTTGTTCTGGTTTCAAATGGGTGTAGTGTGATGCGAGTTGTTCCTTAGTCCATGTAACAATAAATAAATGGACAGATGGCTAATGGCAGCCAGACGGAGGGAGCATGACAGACGTAAACAATGAAAAAACATGAAGAAGAATGCGTCATTTTATGAGTAATTATCTTTGCCTTCTCAGAGTACTGGTCAGTTTTGGGGTTTTGTGTACCAACTGGGAAACTAACTGCTGCCTACACATCAGTTCAGGACAGGACTGAGACAGATTTCTGATACAGCAATTTATACAGCTTTGAAAGTCCTGCACCAGTTTTAAACTGTAACCATTGAATCCAGCAAGACACAGTGTGATTCTAGTGGTATAGTACTGAGGACCGTGTTTTCTCTCTGTGTTCTGAAAATGCATTTTTGGTTTATCAGCAACAGACCGTGTCATGTTGTTTAGCTGTGAATGTTGACATGGACACTGCTTTATCCAGCACCTGGCTATAGGAACAGAAACAAACAATGAGTGACAGAAATGCAACATTCATTGAAAAATGTGTCCAGGAACAAACAGCATGATATATATTGTAAGATGTGTTAAACGTGTTAATTTTAAAGGGACAGTCCCAATTTTAAAATGCATTCTTCTTTCATAATCTCTTGTTTATCGAACTGACTGTCACTCTAGCAACTGCCAAAAATGTGTGATTCAGATGTTAGTTTTCCAGTTTGCCCCAAAACTGCCAACTGTTTTTGCATGTAAAAACACCACATACAGGACATGCACGTGTAACGGTGCATAGACTGGAAAGAATCTGTGGGTTCAGTACAGGCCAGAGGAATGTTCTGTTTTCAGGAGCCCACTATGATCTCCATTATGTGGTCTAGTTCGTTCAGATCCGACCTGCAGGTGGAGCTGGAGCTCAGGGTTGTTGGGCCATGAGAGGAGAGGCTTTCAAGCAGATCATACGGTCCCATCTTGGGGGAGCTCTGCATGCCTGTTAACACCGTGTCCAGGTCATAGTAGGAAGGGTCCACGTCAGAAAACAGTTCCTCAAGCGCTGGGTCAGCGGGTGGCACCGGATGCTTAATTTCAAATGTCCCAAAAACCTGTTCCCCTGTTCTGGAGTCAGCTCTCAGGTGATCCCGATCGCCTTCTTCGCCCTCTGACACACACTCCTCACTGTCCTCCTCGTCGTCGTCCTCATCTTCCCCATCACCATCTTCGTCTTCCTCCTCCCAGCAGGGTCCCATGCCAAAGGGCCCTGCCAAATAAGATGCAGAGGGCATCTGTTGTGAGACCGGAGACAAGGTGGACATAGTGACCTCAGTCTCCACCTCTCCCTCCATTACCACCTCCTCAGAGTGGTAGCCTTCTTCCAGACCGACCACAGAGAAGGGTTTTGGGCTCTGTCCAGCCTGTGCTGCTGTTGCAGGGTCTGTCTGCCGGCATAGCACTTCTGTGGCCACCAGGCGGTCTGAAGGACACTGGGCAGCGGCCAAGGCCTGGGTCATGATTTGCCAGGTGCCGTCTTGGGTCATCTCCTCCTGGATCTGCCGCACCGTGTTGGCAATCAGCACAGAGCGACACAGGTTCGGCTCTACTAACATGTGGCAGAGCTGCAGCTTGATCAGCGACATGTCAAGCAGTGACTGTCGTTGTAGACTGTAGGAGGACGTCAGCGTCCGAGGGGCTGCCACAGATGTTGATGCTGCCTGGCCCTGGTCCCCGTTGGAGCCTGCCTCCTCCCCAGAGTCTGAGAACTTGCGCTTGGTGCCCTTCGGAAACATGTTGCCTCTCTGCGTTGGTGAAAAGATGAAAAATGGTCAAACACTCGAGGGCAAAACTGACTCGATATATTTATGATCAAACATCAAAAACCTATTTATACAATCAATAATCAATAATAGCTAGGATACTCAATGATATGTGTTATAATGAGGTAATATGGTATAGGTATGGGTATATGGTGTAAAATCTGTGTGCTAGTGATTAATCTATTACTAGAATCTGCTCAGCAACAGCTATGACTTTTAACATAAGCTCTACAAACTCTTAGTGAACCTAAAAACACAGTGAATTGATTTTGTTGTAGTTGTTTGCAGTTTTTGTCTTAAAGTTTGCTCTACCTTTCCTGTTGAGAGGCACAGGCATTAGCAATGCAGCTTGGTCCTGGCTGCGTCAATGCTTCAAGTACTTTTGTACGAGCGACAAGCAGCTTTTGTTCAGCACCATTTCTGCCCATTTTAGGCCAGTCTGAAGCAAGACTCCTGCTGGGCGGAACAACCACACTTTTAACAGACCACTGAACCACCGAAAATAGCAGGGTTACCAACTAAAGACGGACGCTGCATCAAAGTCAGCAGAGAAAAAAAGTTACATCAGCAATACATGACTGCTCTGTTCCACTGCCACCTGTGATTCAAAAATACAAAAAATTATTTATCCTGCTCAATAAAGTGCTTCTGAGGGTAAAGATGAGAATTTAGAAACCGGCATTCACAACATACACCAAACAGAAGAGCACCGTAAAGAACCACTGATATTTACCAGGAAGATCAGGTGTCGGGTTCTATGCACGTCACACTTCAGAAACTAGCAGAACTAGATTTTTACTTTCTCTTCACTGGGGAGGGGAAGGAAAAAATGAGTCAACTTCCTTTACTGCACTTGACTTCCAACGCAGACATCTGACAGTAAGAACTGCTAACAATAAAGGCCTGCAACTTCCAAGATAGACGAATGTATGTAAAACAAATGGCTGAGCTCAGATGACCAACTGTGACACTTTATTTTCCATCTGTAGGAAAAATAGTGAGCAGTGTCCGTGTGCATGTCTCTCTTTCTCCTCTGTGTAAAAACCTGTGGGCAGGGCATGTTGGTGAATCACTTCACTTGGTTCAGTTTTCTACTGGCCACACATTTAGTTAAAAAAAAAAGCACAATGACAAAAACTAGTCTCAAAAAAAGTGTCTTACCGCTGGCCTTCAAAGCCTTTCACTGAAGAAAAACAGTTAAGTTCTGTTAGGCAGTATCATAACAGTACCCCACTTGTTTCTAGTAAAACTTAATTTACTAAAATACGTGGTTACTGTCACAATTCAAAGAAAACCAACAAGGTGGAAATATTTTCATTTAGGGCTGAATTACTGAGAAATTAGACTCCATTGAGATTAGAACAGTTGGATGACAAATTGAAATAATAGACAAAGGATTGATTTAATTAACCAGATTTTATTCAATACTTTAACACTGCTGGACTGTACAATGGCCAATAAATATAGGGAATGGTTTTTCTGGCCCACATACAGCTTTGACTTACGGGTCTTTGTGCAGCCACGTCTGTACACCACAAAGTGGGCCCCATCTTCGCCAATGATGTTCTTCTTCTGATCCTATGTCAGACCAGAAAAAAGGGCCGGTATCCAAAATATGCCAGTCATATAGACTTGTGTTCTGCCTGATATCATATTTGGTCCACATAAGGCGTCTAAAGCATTTACCACATCTCATCTTTTCAAACATAACTGGACCTTTACTGGTCCTGCCTGAAACAAATCAAATTATCCTGCCCATAACAACTAGTCTAGTCGACATCAGGTATCTAGACTGTAGGCTGTAAATTTGCTTGATTCACACCAGGAATCCAAAGTGTTGTCCTTGCCCTAGATGAAACCAGACAGAGGTGTCCAACTTACCACTGATATCTAAATCGTTGGAGATGTTTAAATTAGGCTACGCTGTGAGCCACATTTTAGAAAGCAGATGTGGCCCATATTTCTTCATCATTCTTGTGTCAAATGACAATTATTGCCTGTAGAATGTTCCTCTGAGAGAGAGAGAGAAATATTTAACTACAGCACATCTTCAATGGATTGATCAAATGACGGGCTTCACAAACACAACGTTTGAAGAAGTTTGAGTCTGAATTCTCAGACAAACACAGACTAGTACCTGAAACTCAGAAGTCTCAGGAGGCCTTTGACTCCTTACTGCACACAGGTAACAACATTCTCTGATAGTGGACATTAAGGAGTCAGACTCATTGCTGTAGAAACCTGGAGGGCTAAAATACAAAGATTGAAGAATCAATGCACGTGTGGTCTCCTGGTATGGTGCGTTTGTGCTGCAGTTCCTGTTAAATAAAAGACACTAAAGATGACTAGCTACCTAAAGAAAAAGACATGTAACAAAAATTGGGATGCATTAAAAAAAAGCCAAGAAATGCTTGAAAATAGAGGTAACACATACGGACATGAGATTGTAAATATATCTGGTGTGCAATGCACATTTAAGAGTTTGCGAGTTTTGCAGGATATATCTGGAGGATATGAATTAAGACAAGGTTAAAAGCATAAAATCTACACAGTAACGGTAAGGAAAAACAACAAAAGAGGCAGAAATGGGTCAGTGTCAGCAAGCAACCACAGCAGGCAAATATTACAACTTATGCAACAACCCTGCCCTATTTCTAACACACATCACACTCATATAAGTAAATAAAAAGACGTATCAATAGCCAGAACAACACAGAAATGCGTCATTATTAGCCCAATTAACATTCTTTGTTCCAATCCCTAAAACTAAGGGTCAAACCACAGAGTGATGGTATACCACACTTTTAATCCAACGGAGGATATTAGGAGCTCTTTCACATGGACAACTCATGGACAATAACAAGGAAAATACAAAGTCTAATAAAATCAAGTTTACAAGTTAATTCAGCCATTAAGTTAAATCACGACCATGCTCTTAAAACCATAACAGATAAAAGAACAACTGTATTCTTATGGTCAAACCAAGTAAACAGAGGAGGGAAAGTCACGGGGCTAAATGTTGTACGTTAGCTATACATTTAATCATGTAATATGACCACTTTTTGACTGTACCATTATCTACCCTTTTACCACATCTGATAAAAGTTAAATGTCTTATAACTTGGCTAAGACTTATTTGTATTCTCATCTCAGATTGTTTGTCTGTTTACCAGTGCATTTTTTAAAATTTATATATGGTCTTTAATGCATTCTCGAATGTTTTTAAACGGTAATATTTAACGTATAGGTTGGCATCAGCCACAGATAAACAAATACATTATAGTAACGTGGGATGATGAAATAAGATGAAACAAGTTAAGATGACTTATATGGAAGAATTAACATCGGAACAACGCGTGGGATTTAGGTATATGCTATAATTCAAAACAAATTACTTGGACCCGGTTTGTTCAGTTTATTTAGAATTGTAATCCCATGTCATAGGAAATAAACTGTATACGGAGATCAGCGCGAATCAGGAAATTAGACTAAGTTAACCTGGTTGACTTCAAAGGCGCTGAAATCACTTAACCGACGGTGAAAACTTGTCATTTTAGTGAATTTCGCTGTTTATACTGTGACATATATTGAAAAACTGTTATTACACGGTGCGACTGTTCATATGTCAGGAGCTGGAGGAGGAAGAAAAAGCCAAACAAAATGCGGCCTCGTTTTACGTCAATGGCTAAAGCCTGAAACACCCATCCCCCACCGAAGACTTCTATTAGCACTGTTAGCTCGGTTCAGTGTTAAAATCAGAATTCTGCTCTAAAACATCGGTAGCTCATGGAATCGTTTTCTGGTCTGCCTAGTGACTGACAATGGCCTTTTGGAATATATACATGTTAACCCGAGAGCCACAGAACTGCAGCTTTGCCCTCTGTTCCTTTCGCACGCTTTTGTCTTTTCAGCACCAAATTCACTCAACGACAATGAGGCCATTTTATGCTACAGGCTAACGGCTTACATGGCTAACTGCTGAGCGAAGATGGGATGCTGGACCGCTGGACGGATTATATAAAAATGGAAAACCCTATCAGTGATAGGGTAAAAGCCAAACATATACTCACTGGATCATAATTTTCATACTGATAACAACCGGACTAAAGGATTACTTAGTACTTGGTCGTTCTCCCTGCGCCGAGACGCTTCCTCCCTCTTTGGCCGAAAACAAGAGTTTTCAACGCGGCTCCGCTCCAGAGCCCCCTCCTCCTAAAAATCACCCCGCGCCTGGAGAATCTAACCATTGACCGGGGCTCTATTATGTGTTTCTAGAGAGTGTGCAGTTAGTCGCTCACCTGGAGTTTGTGTTATTTTACTCTTGTCCTGGCTCATAGGATCGACGGCAGGGAAAGCGGAGATCAGGTTGAGATGAGATCATTCATGCCACGGCTTCAAACTGTAGTTGTTGCTGCTGCTGCGAGTGTGTGTGTATGAGAGAGAGGGAGGGGGAGAGAGCTGCCGCTGCCGAGGAGGAGGAGGCGGCTCAGGCGGGGGGGGGGGGGGGGGAGGCCCGGCCGCTGCCGAGGAGGAGGAGGCGGCTCAGGCGGGGGGGGGGGGGGGGGAGGCCCGGCCGCTGCCGAGGAGGAGGAGGCGGCTCAGGCGGGGGGGGGGGGGGGGGAGGCCCGGCCGCTGCCGAGGAGGAGGAGGCGGCTCAGGCGGGGGGGGGGGGGGGGCTGCCGCTGCCGAGGAGGAGGAGGCGGCTCAGGCAGGGGGAGGGGAGCCGACTACAGCCTGAAGCCATATGTCTGCATACAGAGAGCAACCAGGGTTATTGCTCTCCTTCAATTTTAATGCTTTATTGCAGTCATTACAGGTTATGATTGGTTTATTTAAATAGATATATTATTGCTTTATACAAGTAAGCAGATTGTTTTAATATTTTATTAACAATTATTCGTTTTCGGTCTTAGTAATGTTGTTTTCCTTTAGTAATTGCGTGTCGTCTGATAATGAATTAGTGGTAAAGAAATAAACAAAATAATACATAGCACTTAGTTTACTTGGTATATATTGTACCTCTAACCTGTCTGTCAACATGCATTACTGTTTTATAGACTAGTATAGTCTACCTTCTGACTTCCCGACCGATCTGCTCATTCACTAAACTACCATAGTTCACATCTACCTCAGTGTTTAACTCCCTGCTTACCTTACATTTCAGTAAATCTTTTAACCTGCTTATATTCTTTATTATTATACATTATTCTGACTTAAATACTTAACTATATCGGCCTACCACAAGTCACTGCACCTATCTGCCAACCTATTATGTATCCCACTTCAGTTCAGGTTTGTATCTTGAATATTAAACACATTGAAATTGTCTTTAACCAAAATTTAAAAATCAGGATGATAACACACAGTGAAGTCCTTCCTGAATGCATTTGATCGTCAGTGACTTAAACAGCTTCAGCGAAGTTTTCTGTCCTTTTGATGTCAAGACCAATAAATAAACATTGTAAAAGCCATCAAATGTAATCAACAGTATATACCACAGCTCAGCTCATGATGCTAATTACCCCAGCCATTGGGTTTTGATTGGCTTTCATTTGGTTTCACTCCTACTAATCTGTCGTTTCTGTTTTCCTTTTATTACAACAATTTGTTACAAATCGTAAGGTATATTAAAAAGGGTGTTTTTTTTTCATCACGAGAACTAGTAGTAGGAACCACATACCATTATCTGTCCCTGTTCCTTTTGTCTGTTTTTACCACAGAGATGTACACCAGAAAGTCGGGGCAATACATTAAACTGTGTGGATTTACTCTCATAAACAAGTAACAGGTATATGTACGGACCCTGGAATTAATAATGGTAGATAAAAGCAAAATGGCACATTTGTCAGCGCAAACCTGTGTTCTTTAATGACATCATATATGCTTTATGACATCAGAGCAAGGCAAGTTTAAACCGGTCTATATTTGTGCCAATGTTAAAGTGAAAGGAACAAAAAAGAAGAGACCAAAAAATGGGGCCCATCCACAGTGGAAACAGAATAAATCTAAATGACAACAGGTGAAGTCCTCTAAATTATTACTGATCAAGACTTTGAGATTTTCATACAAGCTCTGGAAACTCCCCTCGAAATGAATAAAATTGGCAGCTTTTGAGTTGCCAGGTATAAAAAGCTGATCTTTTTTGTGCAGCTGATGTTGGTTCCATACTACATAAGTTTAAGCTGCAGTCTATCCTGGTGATCAAAAAGACATAGGCCATAGCAGAACAAAACAACTTCATATGTGCAGATGTCTAGATATTGTCATGTCTTGTTTGAGAGAAGATTATTCCAATGTTGTAGTATGAAGACTGGCATCATGCAAAGTATGAATGTCTGTATTAATAAAGGAAATTGTATAAATATTATATGAATGTAATAGCTTTTGATTTCTTTATATTTAGATATCATTTTTAAGTAGTTTGAGATAAATTTACAAGTTATTGGATATTAAATTCCTCTAGGAAAATAAAATATCATGAAATATGTACAGAATATGTGACGTTCTCTGGAGATTTTATTGTTCATTTTATGCACGTCGTATTGTGTTTGAGGAAATGAAATACCAACACTAAAGAGAATTGTTTTGGTAACATATTATCACTGAAATTTTTATTTAACGTAATTATTTTGTGCCTTTTAAAGATCTGCTGAAAAACTTCCTGTTTGACGCGGAACTGTTCTTCCGCACAGGAAGTGGCTGGCGGACATTTTGAGTTACCTTCTCCAAAGTTCCGTCCGTTTCCAGCACTTTCTAAGACCGGCGAAAAATCGCGTGAGCACCCTCACTGAGAGAGAGAGACTGAGAGAGAGAGAGAGAGAGAGAGAGAAAGAGAGAGAGCGAGAGCGCGGCTGGAGGAGGATTCTAGAAACAACGTGCACTCAACAGGACCTGCTCACATACCGGTTAACTCTCTCTCTATCGCCAACCCATTTTATTTATAATTTTTAAAACCCGAATCAATGGCCAAGTGGGGAGAAGGGGACCCTCGCTGGATCGTGGAGGAAAGAGCTGATGCCACTAATGTCAACAACTGGCATTGGTAAGAAACGACATAAAACAGCACCGACTGTTAGCATGCTAGCCTCCAAACGCTAACACCATATAGAGTAAAGAAACTAATTTTTACATCAGACATTCGTTTATAACTGTTGAGCTTTAATTATACTCACGTGACCGAGGTGTGCTTGACGAGAATATGGACAAAGAGATTTAATCTTAAACAAATTGGCATATTCTAAGTAGCTTTTAGCCAGCTAGTAGTTAGCCGAGCTTTTAATAACCACAACATGTTATTTTTAGTGAACCTTGGAGCTTTATGTTGTTGTATATTAAATCCCTTGCTATAAGCATTTTATATCTAAAAAAACATTTATTTCTTTAAGCACCAAACAATTTAGTAGTATATGTTTTTGTAGTTCTGTTTAAAGATAATCATTTGTTTAAATTCATAAATTATAGTTAAGTGTTCTGACTACGATATATTATTATAAGAACACATACAACAAAACTGCAGACTTGAATGAGAATGCTGTCAATATTATTATCTTTACAAGTTCTGTTTCCTCACCATCGGTGCTGGATCTTTTCAGGACTGAACGTGATGCTACAAACTGGTCGTCGGACAAATTGAAATACCTGCTCATGGGACTCAGTGTTGAGAATGATGTTGGGACTTGTGAGGTGACGGAAGTCAGCAAAGTGGAAGGAGAGGCTTCCATCAACAACCGCAAAGGGAAACTAATTTTTTTCTATGAATGGGTCCTGAAAGCTACTTGGACAGGTGTGTAGCATTTTTACAGTTGCTTATTCAATTGCTAAAGTAATCATACTTTTTTATGTAGTTATACTTTCCTGCTAGTTTTTCTAATAGTTTAAGTTATCCAGACTTTTATATTCTTACAAGTGTAGATCCAGGCAGCTGGAGTTAAAAAAATCCATGTGGTCTCACAGGTTGTCAAAGCCAGTGATTAATAAATGAAACGTGTCTGAAAGTTTTATCTTTGTGCTGACACTTTTGCCATATTTTTTTCCAGGTAAGACAAAATCAGGCGTGAAATACAAAGGATCAGTTGAAGTTCCAAACCTGTCTGATGAAAACGACATGGACGATCTTGATGTGAGTTTTACCCCATTCTCTGAGCAGACCTAGCATTAATATCAGTCATGGCTGACAGTGCTAATGAAGTTCTGAACTGCTTGTCCATTTACAACATTGATAAGAGTAAGTCCTACCTATGATGCGGTCTGTCCCCTCAAAAAAAAAATGTCTGTCTGTTTGTCTAAAGACCAAAAGATTTCTCAGCAGAAGTTCTCTGATCTTATACATTGCTGTACAGTAACGGTGCCTGTATCATACCACTTGGTTTTTTTTGTTATGATCATTGCATCATCTGCCCCTGATACCTTAGGTGCTCTGGGGAGAATTTAATTTGTTTGCTCATTTTCAAACCAGTGTCTTTTCAACTTGCGTCAGTCATGGATGAGATAACTACTGTTGCTGCATTGTACCTACTGCAAGCACCGCAAAACCACTGACTGCCTCAGTGTCTGGGTGAATTTTCCTGTATCCTCCAGTAGCTCCGTCTTGATGACAGCCAGTTCCAGCAGTACCTCAGCCTTACAGTAGTAAAACAAGCCAAAAAGAAAGTATCATAAATTACCAGAGAGTCCCACCTCATGGTTAACTTTAATCCATGCCTCTTCTTCTTTTATATTGTACCAATAAAACATAGCAGCAGTGTCCACACACAGTAATGATAAGCCATTGTTCACAAACGTTTCTGCTTAATCCTGGGAGGTGATGATGGGATAAACTTGTCACTGATTGGATGTTGTCTTGTGATGTTAAATATTTCCAGCTTTGCTTGTGTCGCCTCAGACAATCTTTCGCTTCATCTTCGCTTTTATTAAAAACATCTGGTCCTGGCAGAGATATATGCTGGTTTAATTCATTTGAACCTTTTGTGTTCAGGTGATTCCTTTTCATACTTTAATGTCATATGAACAGATCTATCTATCTCTTCAGTTGGTAATGCTGGATGATCAGTGTCTAACTCTGCACTAGAGGTTACTTGGTGCAGTAACAGTGTGGCGATACCTGTGTTCTCTTGTAGATTGTTGTATCGTTGAACAAAGATGAACCCGACACACCGCTGCTGAGCCTGATGAAAACGAAAGGAGCCGCGAAAGTGCGTGAAGCTCTGGGCAGCTATGTTGGATATTTAAAAACGGGTGAGTGACGTTTTGAGCAGACAAGTATGAATGCAACTGTTGTCTATAACTGTAATCATGACCTGACTAGAAAAGCTAAATATTTACCATTCACAATCTACTGCAGTTTGTGTTCAGTGTTTCAGCAGCAGGAGCTGCCAACACAAGTAGTGATGTAATCAGTAGCTATAGTTCTGGTCGACTTAAGTACCTTCTTCCTTCTACTAGCGACTTGTCTAGGTCATGTCATTCATTGTAAAGATATTGTCTCTTCTTCATGATGTCATACATTCCATCATTTTAAATGGCGTTTCCCACGTTTTTGACATGAAATTTCTGAAGCTGTTCTGATTTGAATTTTTCACCTTCCCATTAATCCATAAAACTTTATAGTTGTTCAGTGTCCTGTTACTGCAACTGTACTACGGTACAGGGTATACAATTTAAAAATGTGAATTTAAGAAAAGGGTGTCAGAAGTGTTCTTATGCTGTTTTTTTTTCTCCATGGCAGAGTTCACACAGGGCATGATCCTGCCAACAGCTAATGGTGTGGCCACACCTCAGAGCACATCTCAGTCTAAAGCCAAGACGGATAAAACTCAGGTCAGTGCAGCAGAAACCCATAACACTGTGAATGGCTGGAGGTCCAGGTTTGAGGGCACGGACCAAAGATGAGCAGCACCAGGATGTTTCTAGAGGCTCTGAACTGTGGTGCTGTGATTTATTGAAGGATTAGATTAGATCAGATCTGCTAGATTTGTTTAGATGAGAAGTATTTACAGATTAGATTAGACTGGATCAGACTAGGTTATGTTTCCTGAAGCAAAACTAAGCAGAGATTGTTGTAGAACTGGCACATTAACCATCTATTGTAGTCAGTTGTGTGTGAAGTCACAGTCCACTCAGAATGCATTATAAAACAGTTTATCTTCAAATACATGTGGTTTAAAAAAAGTTGGAGAAATGTCATATGCTAATGGTCTGCAGACAAAATACAGTAACAGCCAGGTTGATTTCATGCACGTTGTAATGTCTGAATCTTACTGACCTGTTGAACCTGGTCAGCAGGCTTCAGTACCAGCTCAGTGTGCAGCTCTCTGACCAAATACTTGTTGCTGTGCTGTTAAAAAGATTTCCTCAGGAGGCAGCACGGCCGCTCCTGTCAACACTGGTGTCAAGATCCCCACCTGCAAGCTGAGCATGAGAGAGACCTTCCAAACTTCTCCTGCTGATCTTTACAGTGTGTTCCTCAAACAGGAGGTCAGGACTGATGGTTGACTTTAGCTCTGGTTTATTTGAACTTGGGTTCTTGTTATTTTGAATACTGGTCCATGTGGGGGTGTCAGAAGGTCAGCTTTCATTTCACCAGTGTTGTCTGTCTCTTCTCTAGATGGTGGCGGCTTTCACACACGCTTCAGCCACAGTCGACGGAGAGAAAGGAGGACGATTCCGTCTGCTGGACGGAAACGTTTGTGGTGAATTCACAGAGCTGGTGAGACTGATGTGTAACCTTGTACATGTAAAGAATAACCACTTTTCCCGCCACCTTCCTCTCGTACACAGCAGACTTCTGTGGTGGTCTCTCCATGTTAAATTGTTTTTAATGGTCAACTCTTTCCTCTGTCTCCAGGTTCCTGATGAAAAAATAGTAATGAAGTGGAGGTACAACACCTGGCCCAGTGGTAGGTGACTTTTTAAGGCTTGGATTTCTTTTATTTAAACAACTGTGGGTTTCATTTGACACTGTATGTTGGATGGATGATGGAACAAGACTTTCAATTTATATGGGAGATGCAGACTTAACCAGGGGAAAAAAGCATAGGTTGAGGACGTCGTGATCAGAGGACCTCCAATAGATTCTGAGTATAATGATTTATATATTTGATTCTAAAACACTGCATACCACAATGCCTTGTTCTGTATGAGAATGTGCATCATAAGTTAAAAGTTATGTCCAGTAGTGGAGTCTATAACGATTGATCAAAAATTAACTGAAGATTATTTTTTATTTCAAACTGATCTATATCAGTTTGAAATAAAAAATAATCTTCAGTTAATTTTTGAACCATCAGCTCACAAACAAATCCAGCCTCTGTTGTGTTTCCAATGACTGCTGACAGAAATGTGTTTTCTCTGCACAGAACATTATGCCACCATCACATTGACCTTCGTGGACCGCAGCAGTCAGACGGAGCTGAAGGTGCACTGTGTTGGTGTTCCAGACAGTCAGGAGGAACTGATGAAAGAAGGCTGGAAGAGATACTACTTTGAAGGCATCAAACAAACTTTTGGCTTCGGAGCCCGACTCTACTGAGGACAACCTTCGTCTTACCTCGTCTCTTATCCTGGATTTTTTATTTTCAACCATTGTGTTTTCCGGTTCAGGACGTCCAGCAGGTTAAAACACTGAGGAGTTAAAGAAGGAGCTCTCACTGTGAGGCCCTGTCTGTCATCAGTCCATGTGTGGTTTTGTTTTAAATTTCTGTGCTCATTTATGTCTAGATTCAGTTTGTTCCTCCAGTATTTCTGACATTTGGTCATACGAGTGTAACTCACGTCACACGATCAGTCCCTGGATTGAGGATTGAGCTTTTGGTAGCCCACATCTGGTATTTGAAAGAATGTCAAACATGGCTGGTCCTCTTCTGACATTTTTATGTTGTCACCACTTGTCTGAAGAGTCTGGCCCACACTTGGACTGGACAAGTTTGTGTGATCTAACTTAAGCCCGACTGTGTTTGGCTGAGTAACAACACAAATTCTAGATACCAGCTGTGGCCCACTAGAGGCCTTTACTTGACTGCTGTGTGGGGGCCAAATGAAAAATGATTTTGTTTTGTGGGAACAGACTGTGCCTTTTACACCTCGGATGGAAAATTAAAATAATCATAATGTATGAAACCACTCTTTCAAATTGGGCTTCAGCTCAATAAGTATGTATTAATAGAAGAGTTGTGTCTATCTGAAGAACAAAAATGTTTTGTGTTATTTTGTTGTCAAGACAGAACTGAAGTGAAGCTGCTTTTTCAGCTCGGATGCATGTCCTGCTTCACACAGAGAGATGATGATGATGATGATGATGATAAACAACCAACCACTGGATATAAACCTAGCCCATCACCACAGGCTCAGTCCTGCTCTGCTTCACATTGCTGCCATGTTAGAAATAAAAGCGGACCAAGTAGTTCAAATACAAAGCTTCATTTTCCTTATTGGCTTTTAAAGAATTCAGTGAGTGTCCGACAATGGGCTTTCAACTACCACCTGACACAGATCTATGTGTCTCTTCTGAGAGCAGTTCATTTTTTAGTTAATTGGTCTCATCTTTTCCAATCTCCTTTAAAAACCACTCGCGTGACATCACCATCTTCACTTTTACAATTTGGGTGACTTTGTCCTCGTCTTCACTCTGAACTTGGGTTTACAGAGTTAAATCCGAGAGAAAAAGAAAATGTAGAACATGTATAAAGATCTCAACAGTTTTAAATTCTTGGTAAAGGACAGTTTGGCAGAAATTGAAACATGTTTGGCTATAAACTGGACATTTTTATGAAAAAGAATGAAAAAAAACAAACAGCATCTATTTATTTCTCATTTCATCCTCACACTGTAAAAAGATTATTTTCTTGGAATAAAAACCGACTCCTGTACCTGTTTTTATTTATGTTAGCACATCTTTGAAACATGATTAAAATTGTACTTGAAAAGGTTTGTATGAACTCATTTATTCAAGTTTTATTTACATTTTATATGTTTTAAATGTTTCCTGTTATTAAAACATTTAATTTACAATTGCTTAAAAACTAAACTCAAATAGAAACGTCAACGTTTATACACTGAAAAGAAACACTTCCACGGGTTTGGTTTTCCAGCTTCCTTTTTAGGTTTATAAAAAACTGACTGAAAAACCAAACCATGGATTTCGAACAATAATTTACCATCAAAACAAAACAAATAATGACAAGACTTACATAATTTCCTCCTGTGTACATTTCTCAACATTCATATTCATTTCTTTTTTTCACAGCAGCTTAAAACAGCAAACTGAATTAAATGTCTTCAGAAAAAAAATAAAAAAAGGAAAGTCTTGTTCAAGAAAAAAAAATCTGATTTGAGATTCATCAGCAAAAACAATCTGATGTCTAAATCAGTTATTCCTTTTGTAGTACGACCCAGTGATCAGAAGTTCAGGGTAACGTAAAACAAATTACAGACAGATGTAAAGCTCCGTCTCCTGAAAGAAAAACAGGAAGTTAGCCATTAAATCACAATATAAATGCAAGTTAAAAAAATGTGAGAATCAATACGGATGTGCAGTGTAATGACCATTTTAACCTCCGGATGTCAGCAATGAGAAAGGTGACGTTTGTAAACGTTGCTCTTGTACCAGTATAAGCTCTGATGTTTTCAGTAAACGTGTGTCAGAAACGTGTGGTAACTTAAAGTTCATTGTGAAAACATACGGAGCTGGAGCTGGAGTCATGGTCGATGGACTCTATGCTCCTTCGTTGCTGACGCTGTTGTTTCATTTGACCGACATCAGCGCTGTTTTTGACAGACAATTGATGTTGTTTGGTCCTGAATTTGAGAAAAGAAAGGATTACTGGGAAAAAATTTCCAAAAGTACTTAATTTTTAAGTAAATGTGACCGTCTGCAATACATTTGAAAATACTTAACAGAAGTGAGGATTCATGAATTATGATATAGCGAGTCGAACTAACAATGATGTGGACGAACTGCACCTGTACAGTGGCCACACACTCAGTCCTCTGTTGTCCCTCTGGGCTGTCGTAGACGTCACTCGCTCCACCAACTCTTTCAGAAAGTGGAAGAGTTTCTCTGATTCGATGCACTGTTTCCTGCTCCACGGCAAAACAGATCAACACTGGGAATTAATCATCTTTTAGTCAAACCTTTTAACCCACTCAGTGTCAGCTCGTACTCACATGTGAGCCACTGAGACCACACCGCTGAGTTTGGACTGAGTGACGAGACAGGTTTTAGTCAACAGAGACTTGAGGAACATCTCCAGGGCTCGAGCTGGACACTGAGATTCAAGATTTAACATTTGCTGCTGAGTTTTCTGACTAAATGCTTAAATAGACTTGAAGTTGAATGTGATGCTGCATGTCTGCAGCACGGAAAGGATACAGATGATTACAGGAACGGCCATGGCAATCCTCCCAACCTCTGTGTCCTTCTGCATAATTTTCTTAATACGACTCTAGTTGTGGAAGTCAAAAACGGATGTATTGTTACACTGGAATGCATTAAATAAAATTCAATACAACAATGAAAAACAATTCAGAAATTCAGAGTTTTATCCAAAGTGCCCAGGATTAATTTCCTGACATCAGGTAACTTCAAATATCGCTCCAGTTTTCATTCCAACACCTCCTTCCGCAGCAGTGAGACACAACATGTTAATCTGAGCGGATCAGCTACGTTTCTTTTAACGATTACCTTCATTGAAACATCTAAATCTTCTTCTCTCGGTAACTGGGTTAAAGATGGGATTTCCGCGAGTCCCTGAACGCAACGCCAGCGCCACACGCTAATTGGTAGCAATTAGCACGTAGCTTCTGGATATTGGAGCACGATAAAAATGAATTTCAACCGCGGAAAGAGAAAAAGAACTCACCGGTGGGAAGCGGACATTGTATCTCCTCTTGTGTCCGGGCATTTTAGTACATTCACTTCCATCCACTCGCTCCCATTTTTCATGTTTTTACCGCAAAACTGCCCGGAGTCCATTTGTTTACTTTCAGTAGAAAAAGCACGCAAGTAAAAAAAACACCTGAAGTCAAACTGAGGTCAAGACACTTGACCCGGTGACGTCACGGGTCACGGGAGCTCAGCACACGCTGTTAAACTTTATTTTACTTTTAAGGGTACATAAGTTTATATTAGTTTATCATTGTATTAGTTAAATAGATTTTTGGTTTAATAATGTAAAGGTTTGTTAGTAGTTTGTTCTCCTACTAAGACAGTAGATGTGCCTGTAAAAAAAACATCTTTCGCTTTGTCACTGTGTTATTTTATTTACACCAAGACTTATTGGTTCCAAGCCCTACTCGCTTTTTAAAATTACATATTAGCAAATACTAATAAAATCGATAATTTTTTTTTAGTTATAACTACAAATACACTTATTATCAAGTTTGAAATTATATGGATTTATAGAAGTGCAAAAAAAGTTTAGAAGTTTAGAATAGAGTTAGAATGTAGAATAGGATGTCACATTTTACGGCCGTGGGTCAAAACTGGACCGGTAGGGTCTACAATCTAGTCCGCCTGATAAATTTGATAGTTAAGAAAATGTATAAAAGATACAAAATTGAAATTCTTAATAACATGCTATTCCTAAATCATCTGCTAGGGGTGCCCTTTGTTAGTCAGAGTAAAGGAGTCGACCTGGCTTTTTGTCTGGTGAACACTGTCAATGTAAAGTGGCTGGCTCTTACGTCACGTAGACCTCCTTATATGGACTTTATTTTCCAATCTGTTGTTGCAGTGGGCTTATTTGCCCATTGGGGGCAGCAGAGTTATTGCTGACAGCAGCATCAGCAGCAGTAGAGAGGGTGAGGAAAAGCTGAAAGCTGAGAGTCGGAGCTCGTTGCACTTTGGTCGAAACTTTTTCTCCCTGTTTTTTTAATTGATCTAAGAATTCTGGGGGTTTCAATCCACTGTCGTTCACATGCTGTCACTGTCAGAAGTGACCCCTACTCACTGTGAAACTCTGAGCGTCAATCAGCGGGAAGATTGAAATGTGTTTTAGCGCTGTCTTCTGCCTGCATGGTCGCCAGGCCAGCTAGCTAGCTAACAGTTAGCCCGTGGAAGCTAACAGAAGTAGCTTGGTGAGGTCCAGACCAGGAGGAGACTAAAGTTAGTTTTTCACCCCAGCTGTGGATGTGGACACCAGCCTCAGTTTCCCTACGCTGGGATTAAAGACGCTGGATTAACAAGCGGATAATCGAGCAGTATGTCCGCAGAGGTTGAGAGCAGCCACGGGGAGACTAGTTTGACAGCGACGGCTGTGGTGGAGAAAGAGGAGAAGAAAACAAACAGGACTGAGGGCGAAGAAGCAGAGAAATGTGAGAAAAGTCTCACAGAAGTGAAGAAAGAATGTCAAGAAAATGACAAAGAGAACGAGCGGAGCTGCAGCGGAGCCGAGGCTGTGGAGAACGACGACGAGGAGGAGGAGGAGGTGAAGAAGGTGGTGGAGGCTCCTCCACCCAAAGTTAACCCGTGGACTAAGAGAACCACGGGGAGAGTGGGCATCCACAGCAGCAGTCCACAGGAGAAAGGTCAGAGGGTGTTTTTAATTTTTTTAAAATTTATTTTAAAGTGTTTGGTGTGGACTGAGGTGAGCAGTGAACATGTGGCTGCTGCACTTTGACAGCTTCCCATTCACTTTCCACTACACTCGTCAAAACACATGTCAAACCGTTAACCCGGGGCTTGAACTGACATTTGATCGAATCCCACACATTTGGATGTCAGAGCAGGGGGTATGCTGTGTTGATGGTGGCATATTTATTTCCCCCTCTTACCCCACCCCCCTCCCTGCCCCCGCTGCTGTGTGCTCGGCTTGCTCCCGAGCACCACGTGTTGACTGCTGACAACTGCAGCTACTTCTTTAGCCTGACTCCCACTCCCACTCGCACTCGCTCTGCTTCGAGTTTTCCACCTTTTTCGTCCACATCTGTGTTTGAACATTTGAAGTCAGAAGCAGAAGACCCGTAGCAGCAGAAGCAGACGTTAGAGTTCAACGACGAGTCAAGGCTAACTGCTGCTTCTGCTGTAAAGACACGTTTTGCATGTCCAATGGCCTGGTGTACTGTAGATCCTCCCACCAGCTCTGCTGCAACCACTGTCACACACGCACACACTGAGTGAAACTACAGGAATGTGCAGCAGATGAAAGCCCAGGTGAACTGACAGAACAGTAGGTGTGCGTGATGGAATCTGACTTCAGATCAGCCTGAACCATGAGCCAAAGTAGATACATCACCGATCGTGATAGAGTATTCATCACTGCACAAGAATTCTGAAACAAACAAACAAAAACCATGTATATGCTTCCAATTGTTTGCGTTGGCAGATGGATTAATTCAGTGAATATTATTAAAAAGTCATTTGTTTCTGGCTCTCTAAACTTTTAACCGTTCTGTTTTGCTTTCGTCAACAACAAACAAATGTAACTAGGTTTGTGGGGACGTAGTTAATAAAATGGTTAATAAATGGTTTCAGCTGTGCCTTTTTATCAGTGTTAACTCGTAGCCTCTGCTCTGGTTAATATTTGACTGTTGATAAACTCTGAGTTACTTCTGGAGGGGTTGCATGACTTTAGAATATTTGAAGTCAACACTAGTAAAAGTGGAGTGGACGTGGACTAATCACTAGTTCCACATTGACATTTTTTCAGTACTACTGTTTTACAGAAACTGTTTAACCGGTTTACAGAATTTAAACAAAATCATCATTACGAAAATGTATCACCCACAAAAGGCTTTATTTATACTTATACTTACAGTATATCTGTATTATATAGGACAATTCACATCAGTTAGGGTGAGGCACTCAGGTGATCATCTCAGCCTCCTCTGTTTCTGCTGTGTGTTGTGGATTAGTAAAGTCATTTATATACATTTATTTATATACATTTATGTAAAACTAGAATTAGAAAAGATTAGACCTAAAAATTGCAACTAGAGGTCAAAATAAAAAAACAACAATAGTCAGTCCTCACTTTATCAGAACAGATGCAAACAAACCTTTGACACTTATTTCCCTGGTTCTCAATCCAGTCTGGTTCCTTTTACTGTTCTTCACCAGGCTTTTAGACTACATTTATAATGCATGGAGAAGAGATGGCTACTCCAAGACACAGTTGCATTATGGGAAAAATAGTGTTGGGGGGGGTTGGGCTTGTGGCTCCAACTTGAAATAATGTTAGTAAACTACTGTTCCCTAGTTTTATGGTTGAAAATTACAATGTCATCAACATTCATCAACAAATTTCAAATAACATCAAAAGCAGTATGCAGGTTCTGGTTCTTCTTTATCATTTTTGCTTTACTGCTGAATAAACATTTTGCACAACACAGGTGTGAAATTAGTGAGCTAATATTAAAAATTTAATTTAATTGATTTTCGAGTTGATTTATCCTTCAGACATAACGTTTTTGAACTTGAAAATGTGAAAATGCCCTCTGTTTGAATTGAAGTGTGGTTGTGAATTAGGTTCGTGAAAGTGTGTCAGTGCAGCAGCAGCAGCAGGTTTGGAGCTATATTTGACGTCTTTGACTCTGGCATCATTTTACAGTGTAACTGTACAAACAGCTCTCTCAGTCTCTCACTCTCACTTACTCACTCACTCACCCATTCACGCATTCACTCTCTTATTCACTCACTCACTCATTCACTCTCTTATTCACTCAATGAATGTCACACTCACTCCTACATTCACTCTGTCACACACAGGGCGTTTGCCGGGTGTAGACCCGTTCATTTTCACTCATCTTATCAATGTGACCACCCTCTGCTGAGCGATAGCTCCTGTGAGGCTGCAGCAGCCACTCCCAGCATGCATCAGCTCTGCACATACCCCTGCTGCTGCTGCCGCTAATGCTGTTGCTGCTGCTGCTGCCGACTGTACACATAACACACACAACAAGTCAAGTCAGTCAGTGTAGTACAGTGGGGGGAGGAGAGTTTCTTTGCTCTGCTCTGAGTGAAAACACACACACACACACACACAGTAAAGTAGCAGCAGCAGCAACAGAATCCATGAGACCGGGGTTTTAAACTGCAGCCGTTCAGGCCTACAGACGCCTCACCTCTGCTGCGGGACTTAAACCCTTTAACCCTGTAGATCCAGACCTGCTCTGACAGATTTAATGATTATGTCGCTCACACTGGTCAATTTTGTTCCTCCAGATCAACAGAACGCTCTGAAGGTGGTCCGGGCCAGTAAACCCAGAATGAGAAAATCCAGCAAGGTAGTGATCATTTTTTAAAATGTCTTCTTTGTGCTTTTGTTTGTCCTTTTTTACTTCTGTTATGTTGAAACACCGGGTTGCAAACCCAAAGAGGAGTCGCTGTACTTTAGTTTGGGGTCCCATTGATAGTTCAACCAAATGTCTGTTTGAATGTCTCTTGGTGTACGTAGTAGTTCTGCAGCAAATTCGTTTTTAACAAGAGAGGTAACACTGAAGTTACCTGAGAATGTCGTTTACAAATAGTTTTCAACAAGAGAGGTAAGTTACCTGAGAATGTCGTTTACAAATATAACCTTATGTTAAACTATGCTAAATAAGAAAAGACAAGTTCAAACAAGAAATGTAGTGTAAATAGCTGACAAATCGGTTGAAAATGGTGAGAACTTTCTCAAAATACGGCTTATTACAGTTTAGCCCAACTTTAGCTCACAAGATGTATTTGCTAAATATGTATTACACTATTAGAAATAATCTGTGGTTGTTATTTTAAATAGTTCTGCAAACTACAGCAAATATTAGAAAGATTTCTAAAATGACGATAAAGTTAGCTCTAGTAGAGCTAAAGGTTAGCCATACACTCAGCAAATATGCCATTAAGTCAAAGAAATTTGTTCTTAGTTAACAGAAATGTAGGTTTTAAGTAAATAAAAAAAATTGAACATGTCAACCCAAAGAAAGGGTTGATAAAAATTAGGCAGAAAAGCTGACAAAGACAGCTGGGAGTTAGCCCAAAAAATAGGTCATCTTAAGTTTTTGACAAAACTACAACACACTATAAAATCATCCTGGAACGAAAATGAGTACTTTCACTGACGCTGGCATTAAACACACTTTCATATAAAATTAGCTTCTCCTGATATTGAGCAACAATATTTATTAGAGCATATCAGTTCTGTCCAGGGGGACACGATTGGCCTCAGACCCAGGGTTTGGGCCCACCTCAGTCCCAGTGTGAGCTTCTGTCAGTGTGAAAGTGAGGATGAGAAATTTCCAGCTGCTGTTTCCCCAGAGCTGACCGTGTGTTTACTGTGTTCCCATTTTTGAACACACATATCTACTGTTTGTCTTTTTTATTTGTTTCTACTCCACTAACCACCTGCTCTCAAATTCAGTAAAACTCCCAAACTTCATGTCCACCCTCCTAAACCGTGACTGTGGACATACTAAACGTCAACATGTGTGATGTTACCCTAATATTACATGATTCAGTGGAATCATGGGGAAAATAATCAGCTGCTTAAAATGCTTGCTTTTGTGGATGTTACCACAGACTCTGTTTGTCTGTAAAATATCAGAAAAGGTTGAAAATATTTCCTGGCAGTTTTCCCAGAATTTGAAACCACTCCTTCAGTCGTCTGATGGACAAACGTTAGCAGATAATCCTTGAGAGCTGAAGCTTAAAACACTTGAATTCATGAGCACTTAAAAATGTTGTTGACGTTAAATTTGTGTTTTTTGTAAAACAAAACATGTCTATAATCAGCAAAACTAAAAGTTAGCCCAAACAAATGTAGTCAAACTATATTAATATAATAATTCTAAAATATTACAAAAGTATTATCTAACTTATTTCATGACAACTACTAATAAAGAAACTAATGTTTAAAAAAATTTAAAAAAACAATTATTTGAAAAAAACTGTTGTCAATTGCCCCACAATAACAAATGCAAATGTACTCAAAACATTTACTAAAAAATCTACCCCTAAAAATCTACTAAAATACATTTACATCTATTAAAAAAACTACTGTTACTGAAAGCATCAATTTAAAAGATAAAAACAGTTCATCTCACTGGGACTACTGGAGGTTTTTTTAATTATTTACAAGCAACAACTACGACTTAATAACAATTAGGATCACTTAAAAAAACATAACAACTACTATGACAAGAACAAGGATAATTAGTAAAACTAGTAGTAATCAAAGACAAGTACTGCATCTTCACAACAACAACAGCAACCATAACAACCACTTTACTTGGTACAACCACAATAAATACACACACACACACACACACACACACACACACACACAGTGGACAACTTCTAGACCTGCAGTGAAACTGTAACTGCAACAGCAGTTTTAAACCTTTGGTTCCACATCCATGATGTTTGTTTGTTTAATTTGTTTTTATCTTTACAGTCCAGTGACTTCAGTGACATCACTAACTGGCCCACACCTGGAGAACTGGCTAAAGAGGTATTGGGGTGGGGCTGTATGTCTGTGTATGTGTGTGTCTGCGTCTTGCGTGTGCGAATCCTTGTGTGTCATAGGTTATGTATTCTGTGTCTGAGAATGTAATGTATTTGAGTTTCTCTGGTGTGTGTGTGTGTGCGCGCGCGCACGCGCTCTGTTTCATGTGGGTCCAGTTTTCCCATTGTTTACCCTCACTGTCAGACTTTTAGAATTTTTTTTTTTGTTTCTGGTCAGTTTTTATCTTGTGCACTAGATGTCGCTGTGTACTTCTGAAGCCTGGTGATGCAAGATTGCTCCTAGTTTCAACTCTTCATCTACAGAAGCTTAGTTTAGTTTCCAAGTGTAAAATTAATGTTTTTTTTAGTTGAACTGATGTAAGGAAAAGGAGATAGAACTATCTGAAGCACACACACACACACATATATATATATATATATATATAATTTTACATTAAAAAACAAAACAAAAAGAAAACAGCTCTTTGTCCGGCTTTACAGTATTTTGATTTTGTTACTGCTGTCCAGTGTAAATCATAGAATTGGACTCCCAAAGCCGACTGTTTTCATATGTCTAAAACAACTGTCCTGTTCTACAGCAACAACAGAATGTCCTCAACAACAACGGAAAGAAACCTGCTCCTTCCTCCGCCGTCACGTCCTCCACACGCAGAGAGAAGGAGAAGAGACGGGAGCGTCAGGAGAGGAAATCGGAGAGCAGCCACGACGGCAGTGAGAGTAAAGAGAACCAGGAGAATCCTCCGGAATCTCAGGGAGATGTGCCCAAAGACAGAGAGACCAAGGCAGGGCAGGACGCCAAAAACAACAGCCTGAAAAAGAGAGGAGGTGAGGCGCTGTGTGAGGGGGCGGGTGAAGCATGTTCTTCTGCATCTCTACCTGTTTTCCAAACACCACTTACATCTGCAGCTGCTGTTTCTGCCGATGGTCAAAGTCACGAGTCAGCAGTTTTCTTCACCCTAGCTGTGAATCTGATCCAGTCTAAAATCATCCATTAGATCGGGACTCTACGTCAGCAGTTTGTGACCTTTTAAACGCCACAAACCTGTTTCATGTCAGACAGTATTCTCAGGATTTATATTAGAACCATTCCAAAGGTCAACAAGGTCAAACTCGGAATGAAAGTGGACAGCACATATTCTACAGAGAGTGGTTTTTCAGGTGAGAATCATCTGTGGTGATAAGGCTGTACTTTAAGTAGGACTGTAAATTCACCTTTTACTTTGAAGGAGAAGACTGTTGTTTTAATAGAAGCTCTTTAAAGAGTTCTATTTTGACAAGACTGTTCACATGGGTCTACATGTCGTTTAGTATTTATTCATTTTTCAAAATAAAACACCTTTCACATCAATCAATCAATCAATAAAACAAAAAAAAACAAAAACTTTTTTTTTCAAGAAAAAAAACAAACTTTTTTTTTCAAGGGCCAGGTTCTAGCACTTTAATCCAGGGACGTAGGCTTCACCCTTTGTATTCTGGTGGTGATGTTTTAAACATCAGCCTAAGTAAAGACGGCAGCAGAGTGGAGAAGAGTAAGAGGGGACGGCAGACAGAGAGGAGCAGCAGCGTTTGTATGCAAAAAAGAAGACTCCATTTTACAGTTGTGACACCTGCACCCTGCAGGAGGTTCAACAGGAAGATGGGAGGGGAAGAGAAACTATCACATTTAGTGTCCATCATGTGTCATTGTGTATTTGTTTCAAATAATCTGGGTATCAAAGAAAATCATCAAAATAATCCTGATTAAGATTGTTCTTTTTCCATAATCAGGCAGTGGTGATCACTAGACTCAGATCTGACCTGTTCTCCACAGCACGACAGCCTTTTCTGTTTCCTGCATCTACAGAATGTTTGTGACAAACTGCTGCATGTTCTGCTGTGTTGACTTGTCCGCTGACTCGCTGCCGTCTGTAGGGGCAATAGGACCAGAGGCAGAAAAGACATTTAAAATGACAAGGCGGTTTGGAACAGTGATGTTACAGTAGCAACGTTGGTCACGTAGTCACAGAGCTAGAGAGGGAACGAAGAACAACATTAGACCAGCCATCAAAAATACTTGAATCTAAATGTAAAACAAAAGTAAATTAAAAGAGTTAAAGTGAAAGTAAATGGCCAGTTGTTTTCCTAGGATTAAGCATAAATTATAAATCAAAATATTTTAATAAAGACCCAACAAAAAAACACCAAATGAATCAGAAGGATGTGGTTGGAGAAGTGAGGCAAGAGTGAGGAAGATAAAAATCAGAATTAGTTTTATTTTTAGGACAATTTTTAGGTCTTTCTGGCTCTTTTCTATGAATTTAGATTTTGGGATTTAATTTTTTTTTTTTGTTTAAAGAATTTCTTTAAGCTGTGTTCTCGGTCTGTAATCATGGCCAGGTAACAAACGTAAGTGGGTTTCTCTGCCGATGGAGGAGGTTTCCAGGGACGACAGTGACAAGACACCTAGCGGTGGCCTGACCCGCACTGACACCGAACCAACCAGTGAATCACCTGACCCCACGTCGCCCAATCACGCGCTCCATAATAACAGGCAGCATGATAGCAGCAGGAGTAAGTGGCAGCTCTTCCTCTCTCTGCTGTTGGCTCTGATTTCACTGCATGTGTGATTCTTCCATCATCTGCTTCTTCTCCCAACCCGAGCATGACTGAAGGAAAGCACGGCGTGAACACCAACATCTGACACCTTTTAACCTTTACAGGACTTCCTGTGGTTCTTCTACACCCCAAAACTTTGGCTTCGCCTGTGGTCAAGTTTTCTTTCCTCTGTTTCAGGAAACCTTTGTCATTGAAACACATATCCATGTTTGTGATTGCTGTTAGCCAGAGATGCTACGTTAACAAATGGATAATAATAATAATTCATTTAAACTAGAAGATAGAAGTTAGCAGAAACAACTCTAAAATAATTAAGTCAACATGTCAGATAATAAAAGGACTAGTCAGATATAGATTTTGGCCAAAAAAACCAAAATGCCAATAGTAGGGTTGCTGAGGATAAACTACAAATCAACTCAAAGTTATATAATGCCAAATGGCTAAAGGTTAGCATCAACATAGCTAAATATGAGCCAATAAATATTAACAACGATATTTAATTCTTTTTGTCTCGGTTGTCCAGGTGAGGATTTTTAAGAGCTGATTCTTATCCATTGTGGTTTGTTTGTGTGTGTTTTTTCTTGTCCCAGGTTGGAGAAGAGAGCCCAGGGATTTCGGGGATGACGATGGAGTCAGGAGTGACAGCAGCGGCACTCGAGGAGGGATGAGAGGACGTGGAAAAGGTCGTGGTCGAGGCAGAGGTCGTGGACGAGGCAGGTTTTCTTTTTCTAAATTATCCTTGTCCAAGAACTCGATTTGAATCATCTCCTGTGGTTTAAGAGAGAACTCTCAGGATCCACAGGTTCTCTGGTCTCATGTCTACTTTTGGTTCTTCCAGGTCGTTTCGAGTTCTTTTCTGACTCCCGTTCCTCTGATGGCTCAGTTCAGGTTCCCTCAGAGTTTGGTACCAATATGGTTTACTATTATGATGACGGTAACAAAGTGCAGATGTACACAGTGGATGAGAAGCTTCTTAAGGAGTACATCAAAAGACAGATGTGAGTATTTCTTTTCCTTTTTTTTTTATTCAAAGAAATTCTGCAGAAATCAAGACAACAGTCCAACATGAAAAAGACTTCCCCCATTTTTTAGTGGTTCCATAATGTAGCGGTTAGCACACCTTCTTTTGAAGCATAGGGTCACGGGTTGGATTCCCAGAGGAACCACATACATGAGGCCTCCAGGGGGCAGCCTGTAACAGCAGGTCTGCTGTTAACAAAATAATTTCCCAGTGTGGGATCAATGAAGTTCGTATTATATATTTAGTTCCATTTCCCCCTACCTAATCAACATAACAGTACAGAGAACAAACAGAAATCACTCAAAAATAATTTAATAAACAGACTAAACCCCCAAAAATAAATTAATAAAATTAATCCATAAATAATAAAAATCATCAGCAGAGAAGTATTTTTTTTCTTTTCTTTTATATAATTTAAACAAAATGTCTGGACACTTAAACAATTGGAAATGTAAATCAAAAAAGTTACCAAAAACAAAATCAAAAACATTTTCAAACCTAAGTTTACGACAGTTTTAGTCGGTACAAAGATCCTGAGACCGTCTCACATTGGTAACATTTACCTAAGGAGTGAGAGTAAGGTGTGTCCTCCAGGGGGCAGTGTATACATTTTCTGTGAGTCTGACAGACGGCTTTGACCTCATTCTTTAAAGAGACTCAGAATAGTGGAGGCTGAGGTGGACTCTAAAATTAGACCTTGGTGTCTGTGGAGAACGTCTCATGGATGACAAGGGAGCAGAAAAAAACCTGACAGGAAGAGCAGGAAGAAAATGTTTGCCCTGTCGTCTCCTCCCAGCTGCTCACTCAGCCTGAAGCTGTGGACTGAACAAAGAAGCTCTGTGTTGTGTCTGAGGGATTTACAGTGGACCAGATGATTGGTGGAAAACTGACAAAAGCCTTCTCTTTCACTGAGCATTTTCAAAAGTCTTTAACAAAACACAGGAAATATTTTTAACCTGAGTTTAGCCACAGTACAGAGGAAAATATTCTTTAAAAGTTGTCATAGGTTTTTAACCACAGTGTAACACCAACAGACTGTTTAAATGAGGACTGTTTGGTTCCTGAACAATAGTTCCTGATACTGTCAAACTGTACAGACATGTGGGACACAAATACAGACAAACAACCATTCACACTCACAATCACATCTTGGTTCAGTTTAGAGTGAACACTTGACATAATGCCCAAAGCCTGATCTTCTGATGCTCTCCTTCTGCAGTGAGTATTACTTCAGCCTCCATAACCTGGAGCGAGACTTTTTCCTCAGGCGGAAGATGGACGCTCAGGGCTTTCTGCCTATCTCCCTCATTGCCAGCTTCCACAGAGTCCAGGCTCTGACCACCGACATCAACCTCATCATGGAGGTCAGATCTTCAATCATCTCTTCTTCTCAATAAAATTGTGATCTGCAGTTTTGTCTTTTTGTTAAAATAAAAATGACCAAAGTTTTAAAGGGTTTTCTCTCCTCTGATCCAGGCTCTGAAGAGCAGCTCAGAGGTGGAGCTGCAGGACGACAGAATCCGTTGTAAAACCGATCCAGAACGTTGGCCCATCCCTGTTCCTCTCGTCGGTTCTCCTCGTACTGACTTCTCTCAGCTCATCAACTGTCCTGAGTTTGTTCCGCGACAGATGCTGAGCTCCACGAACTCTGGTCAGTTCTCACTACCTGAATCATATCTAAAGTTCTCTGGTCTGTTTTTCAGGGTCTTCATGTTGTGTTGGTTTTGTTCCTCAGCTTCATCTCCGGTCAAGGAGTCTCCTCCAGAATCTGCAGACTCTCAGGACTCTCCTGATCCTGACTCCTCAAGTCAGGAATCCCTGCCTATCATCACCACAGCTGCCGACACATTTAAAGATGAACCAGCCCCCAAACCCAAACCAGACCCTGACGCCTGGATCCAGGTGGAGAAACGACACAGACAGGCCCCAGGAAAACCAAAGGTGCTGAGTGGAAGGAAGTTTTTGGTTACTCAGCCGTGGAGTTGAAAGTGTGGTCACAACATTGGCATTGAAGTTTGAAGTGTTGATGATGATTGTTTTTATGACAATGTTCTGTTCTTCTTCACTGGTTCCTTCATTAAACACCCCCGTCCTTTGTTTGTGTTTTGCAGGGAGACGGCAAGACGTCTCCTTCGCCTCTACCAGCTGAACCTGACCAGGAGGAGCTGGACTTCCTCTTTGACGAGGAGATGGAGCAGATGGCGCCCAGGAAAAACAAATTCACTGACTGGTCGGATGAAGACGACTCGGACTACGAGCTGGATGACCAGGACGTCAACAAGATTCTCATCGTCACTCAGACCCCTCCATATCTTAAAAAACACCCAAGTGGAGACCGGACAGGAAACCATGAGTCCAGAGCTAAGATCACAGCAGACCTGGCCAAAGCCATCAACGATGGGCTGTACTACTACGAGCAGGACCTGTGGGAGGGAGAGGAGCAGATGGAGGGCAGCAAGGTCGGCTGGTTCTTTAACCTTTGTTTATCACTGATGCATTCATTTATCTATAAACTAATGCACCAAAATGGTGACAGAACAGTGCAGGACCCCTGGTGTTTCTCCACAGAGGCATTAACAGTTGGTTAGAGAGAGTGAACTTTATGTCAGAATTTGTAGAATCTCTACATTTTACTGTGATTTGTCCATTCAGCAAAATTACTACATAAAATATTACTGTATAATAGAGTACAGTAAGGACAGTCGCAGCTCTAATGTGTAGAAGAGACAGTGTGTTGGTAGACACACTGTTTATTGGTTTGGTTTATTGCCTCATAATTAGAGTTTTGGCACATTAACCTGTTATTATCACAGTAAATAATCACATTGATTCCTAACCTTAATTTACGCAGCAAAGTATTTTGTAGCCACTGAGAAGGTGAAGTTTCAGCTGAGAACCAAGTCTGAATTTTAATGCACTTTAAATGCAGTACACACTGTTTATGTCACTTTAAAGAGTTAAATGTCACTGTAATTAATCACACTTTTCATTGTTATCCATGCTCCCTGTGACTAAACCATGGCCCTCAGTCAAGTGTTAATATCAGCAGTATGAACTCAGGTTCAGTGCCGTGTAATTAAACTTTCCTGTTCCTGCGCTGACGCTGACCTTCCCCAGCTCTGAGCTCAAAGGTTGTCAGTTATGTGATGACATGTGGGAAACATCACGCCTGTCACACATGCTCCTTCTCACACACACACACAGACACTGAACACACCAAGGTCATCTGATTTTCCTTTCCTGTCAGAGGTGGAGTTGATGTGTACAGCTCACAGTTTACTGAACAGCTGCTCTGCCTCCCAGGCTGCAGACGCTGATGTCTCTTGCTGTTTTAGTATTACAGTCACAAATGCTGTGATTGTTAACAGTCATCTTTCATGGCTGCCCTTTAACTGAAATAATGTCAGAAAGGTTCCTCCATGAGAAGCAGCTCGGTGATAATCTTGTCTGATCACCTGACTGAGTCGTCTTCATTCTCCCTCTTCCACAGCAGGACTCTGAAAGCTTTAAAAAGCTGAACTTCATCAGTAAAGATGAGTTTGACAATCTCACTCCCAAAGTGCCCGTCGACCCCAACCAGGAAGTCCCGCCTCCTCCCATGGCAGGTAGGTTCATCTCCGTCTCTGTGTTTTCTGTGTTTTGAACTTAAATAAAATGAGAATCAGTTTTGATTTACATTTATTTGGCAGCAAGTGACTTACAAGAGGAGAATTAACAATCAAGTTACATAAAGATGGATTTCTTAACTAGGGTGGAGACCAGGGCAGAAGAAGTGAAGGACAGGAAGTGTTAGGTAGGGATGCCCCTGTTCTGGGCAGTAGAACAGGGGCATTCAGTAGCTCGTTCCACCAACATGGAACGATCCATGAGAAGAAGACCTGGATTATCTTGTATGAGGTGTTGGGACTGCCACACGGCGTTCCTCAATTGAGGGGCGTGGTCCAGCGTAACTTTATTCACCGACCTGACCTGGCTTGAGGCATGACCTTGGAAAACTGAAAACTAGTTAGAGATGTATACTACTGTTGTAATAATAGGATACAGATCTGACTGTCTAACTGTGTTTTCAGTGGACACTGCAGCAGAACTGTCACGTTCTCTGCCCTCATCAGTGCCAAGGTCGCCCAGTACTCACCAACCCCGCACGCCCAGAACACCTCGCACACCCGGACGCCAAGACCCCAACAAGACACCTCGCTTCTACCCCGTCATGAAGGAGAGCGGCACCATTGATGGACAGGTGACAGCAGCCTCACCAGTGTTTCCTGAGGAGATACTATTCCAGTTTGAAACAAACTTCTCATTTATGTGTATAAATGATTATTTTGACTGATGGGTTTTTTTTTCTCTGATGTTTAGATGCCAAGGAAGAAGAAGACGCGCCACAGCTCCAACCCTCCTCAGGAGGCCCACATCGGCTGGGTGATGGACTCCCGTGAACACCGGCCTCGCTCAGCCTCCATTAGGTCACTTTAGTCAATATCCCTCCCAAAAATTAAAAATTGAATCATCTTCTACCTTCTGTTTTTAATATTCTCCTTGTACTTGTGCATCTACTTGTTTTTTCCTCTTCATCTTACATTTGAAGCTCAAACATCATCAGATCTTCTTTGTTTTACAAGTGACGTTTTATTTGGGACTCAATACCTTTTTCCGCCTCTTGATTTTCCTGTCCACAGTAGCTCCAATGCCTCTCCATCAGAGGGCGCTCCTCTGACGGGAAGTTACGGCTGTACCCCACAGTCTCTGCCTAAATTCTGGCATCCATCCCATGAGCTGCTGAGGGACAATGGCTTCACCCAGCAGGGTTATCACAAGTACCGGCGACGCTGCCTTAACGGTAGTGAACTGAAACTTCTCAACCATCACTTTGACTCCCCCTGAGTGTTTGTTATGTTAGAAATGTTTGAGCATGTGTGATTGATGTGTTTCAGAGAGAAAACGGTTGGGGGTGGGTCTATCTCAGGAGATGAACACTCTCTTCAGGTTCTGGTCCTTTTTCTTGAGGGACAACTTCAACAGGAAGATGTACGAGGAGTTCAAACAGTACGCCGTGGAGGACGCCAAAGAAAACTACAGGTGAGCTGACCACCACGATGGTGGTGCTGCACCCCGCAGATGTACTGACGTGGGAAAGAATTTACAGGGTTTGAAGCAGCTTCAGCGTCAGAGCTGCAGCAGCAAATGTGAACATCTGCCAAATCCACATTCCTGTCTGTGAACATGTCCATGTCAGAGCCAGTCAACGTGGATTCAGGGCGTGTGAGCAGAACTGTTTCTCACTCTTGTCAGCTGTAGATTCAGACTGTGTGTGTCCAAACAGGGAACTGGTCTGTCTAGTTCTGCTGCCAACTTTCATTACAGATATGAAAATATTCCAGCAGACAAAACTGTTGATATGCAGCTGCAAAAGCTGGGGTGGCGTGAGGGTGGGGGTGAGGGGTGTAGGTGGCTAAATCTGATCAGCTGTGTGTGATGTACCTGGGTGTCAGGCTGCTGGTTAGGATTTGCTCTCTTCTCCTCTCCTGCAGGTATGGACTGGAGTGTCTCTTCAGATACTACAGCTACGGTTTAGAGAGAAGATTCAGGTTAGATCTGTTCAAGGACTTCCAGGAAGAAACCCTGAGGGACTTTGAGAAAGGTAACACTGGCACAACACAGTTAACAACAGAGTTTGAACACTTCTCTCACACTTAAATTACAAACAGAAAAAGAATAAGATGATCACCACCCACTTACTGGAATGCTCATTAAAATCATCACTACTACAAGTCATCACTTAATAAAAAGTCAAATTCAATATTATTTCTAATATTAACAATAATGATATTAATTTTTAAACACTAAAGACCAAGTACAGAAATAACAGAGCAGAAGGACATGGAAAAGTCCCCTGAAGAGTAAGTGTTTGTCTGTTTGTGTACATTTCCTGGTTCAGGTCAATTGTACGGACTGGAGAAGTTCTGGGCCTTCTTAAAATACTCAAGGATGAAGAACCAACCCATTGACCCAAAGCTGCAGGAACATCTGCGCCAGTTCAAGACCCTGGAGGACTTCAGGGTGGTGGTGAGAGTCAAACAGAAAAAAAATGATTAAAATAAGAAACAAAAGGGTTTTTTCCATGAATATTTGTGATTTTAGCTCAAGGAGACAGGAGTGCCTGGTTCACTGCTGCCTCTTGTGTCACAGTGGTAAATCTGAACAGATTAGCAAAAAAGACGCAAAATAGCACATTTGAATGAAGTGATTAGTTGGATCAACACCTGCGCTGTCTCTGGGCTAAAATCACTGATTTTCTAATTGGACTGAGATAAAAATTACTGGGACTTTGGTACAGGTGATTACAAAACAGTTTACATAGACTGAAATTAGTGAGCGGTGGACATTAGCCACTCATATGAGTGTCAAGACTTTATATCTGACACAGGTCTTTGACTTTTGATCCTGCAGCCCCCAATAGGAGAGGAAGGAGGCAGAAGGAGGTGTCACTCATCCTCGGCTGGGGATGGTGGGAGGCGTCGACGTCATCCTTCCAACACTACCTCAAAACCTGCACCGGCTTCCAAATCCTCTTCCTCTGCTGCTGCTCCATCAGGTGCTGCTGCTGTGCAGACTACACCAAAAGACAAGGACAACAACCAGAAATCTGCAGCTCCATCAGCTCCTCAGGCCAAAAAAGTGGAGTCAGGAGACGTAAAGAAGCAGAGCATCACACCAAATAAATAAGACCTCCAGGAAGAGTGAAGGTTTGTGGGTGGAGGAGCAGCAGAGCAGCCTCTGAGATCTAGTATTTGTTCTCCTCAAAGAACAGTTTGAGTTTGACAAGAGACTGAGCTTTGTTGACTTCAGTAGATGTTTTTTTCTCAGTGCATTTCAGTATAAAGTGTAGGCAGTGAGCGTGAATCTTTGCTCATGGTGTTTACAAACAAAAAAAATGCATTCCCTGCATTTTCTTTCCTTCTCCTCTCTTTCTCTCTGTGCCAAACTGCTCAACATGAGCCTCGAGTCTCAGCAGCTCTGACTCCAGACAAGCTTTTTTTGGACCTTTTCCCAATATCAGAGACATTGGTGCCTTAATCTGATTCTAGCAGGGGCCACTGGTGGACGGTCCCTGATTCAACTGTCCTCGTTCTTGGTTCATATCCACAAGTCTTTACACGTCTTTGTTTGGGTGCTAATGTAATACAACAGCAGACTGTATATAAGTAATGGACGTAGGCGTCTGTAAAAGAGATCAGACTCTGGAAAGTAAATAGATCGCCTGACTTCAGAAGTTTTTCTGTTTGAAAATGAGTCTGTGAGCAGAACCGGACCATTTATCTGAAGTTCGATTTTTAAAATAAGATGAGTCTGAGTTTTTGTCAAGTGTTTTCACTGTCTTTGAGTTAATATTTTTTTCTTTTTAGCTGATTCCCAGCTACTTTGAACTTTTGGCAAACTTTAAACTTTAAATCTCTTCATTGCCTACTTTCACATAACTTATCTGTTAAATTTTTCCAGATTATTGGATTTATTGTTTTTTGTTAACCTGAGCCTTATCTTTGATCACTTGTAGCTGCTTTTGGATACTGCTACTCATTTTTCTTCTTTTTGTGAATATTTTCAGTTATCATCGATTATCTCTGGATTATAATTGTTTTTACTAACAATGCCTAATTGGAAATATTTTGGCTAATCATTTATCATTTGGGCTACATCTCTTTTGGGTACAAACAAACTCCTTCATCTGTTCCACCAATCATGTGACACTTCTCTGTTGTGTAATCCTCCAAAACTCCTTGATTCTTTAATCAAGTAGTTCAGGCCTGTCATAAAACCACACAGTTTTAGCCCAAGCCTTTTTTTTTTTTTTACATTTTCTTTGTCAAATTGGCATAGTGTTGAACTGAAGATATGTTTAGTCAAACCCAGGGAAACAAGTCAGAATTGTTTCACTGATGTTCGAGGATTTCATACAGACTGACTTCTGAAACCATCAGAGCTGCTTACACGCCTGACGTGGCTACGTCCATTTCTTATATTTCTTTTATTGTCTCCACACACTAAAGAAATCTGCTTCATACTGACAATCAAAGTTGGCCTATGTTTCTTCACATAATTTTAATCCACATGAGAGGAAATACAAACGTACATAGGGAACTCCTCTTAAAAAAAATCCCATTTTACATCCAAGAGATAAAATAATTTATTATTTTATTACTTTTTTTCCTTTACTTGATTTATTGAATAGTCTTAGTAAATCAGTGCAGTTTTTAATTGCTTATGCTGTTATAACATTAAACAAGTAAATATTTCTGCTGGATACTTGGGTATAAGCTTGCTTGTTTAAGAAACCCTACAGTTAATTTTAGAGTTGGTTCTTAGGTTTGAGGCTTCAGTGCTTTAGAGCACTTAAATCAGTAACTTTTTTTGTTGTTCTTTATCCATGGACTTTAAAGGATTTAGAGTTGAACTAAAAAGACAAAAATGTAAATACTATAAAAAATCATTTGCTATTCAATTATCTTTTTGATTTTAAGTGATTTATTGGTAATGTGGTTTTTGAGTGTGTTTTAGGACAAAGTATTGCATGTTAATGTATGATGCAATTGTATGATGCAAAAAAAATATATAAAATGACAATTGATTGTACAAATTTGTTTGTTCTGTACTTTGTTCCACATACATTTGATTTAATTCTGATTTTGCAAACTATTTTCTTTCTACAGCATTTCAACACATGATTTAGTCAGAATGACTCAACTTGACAGGATTTATCACCATATGTTTTTCTAAGTCACCTGATTAAGCATTTAAATGAGTTCAAGAAAAAGTTCATGAAACCTGTTTAAATATCACTCTAAGGCTTTGGCCCAGACGGTGCCCATACTCAGGTATGACAGTGTTTACTTGTAAAAGTGGATAAACCAGATCTGCAAGTAAATTAAAGTTAAATTCCAGTGAAATTAGGGCGGAAACAAGAGATGAGATAACATGCAATAAATAAGGATTTGGCCCAAATATGGATCTGCTAAGAAAAAATGTAATGAAAACGTACATGTCATGTCTGACATCTTTGTTAATAAAGATAAAACTGCATAATGTTACTATTTAGTAAATATCTACATCGGCATGGGTAGTTAATGTTTACGTGTACAAAACAGTACAAAGTAGCTTTTTAAACTACGGGTTGTGCAGGCAGACAAAAAACACAAAAACGCAAAGCAAAGGTGGGCGGGGTTGATGTTGCCTTCAAGTGTAGTACGTAAAAATCACTACAATGAAAGGGATCGTCCCAGTACAATAGACTGCAGACCAGTGAGTTAGTTCGGTCCCACCGCTGTTACGTTTACATCCTACATTTCCTGTTTACACTTTGATCCTTTCAAGTGACACGGTATAATTTAAAAGCTTTGACTCATCAAAAGAAAGTACCGAAGAAACAATATTCACCATTCCTATAGTTGGTATATACTGTAATTTTATATTTTATATAACATAAAACCCATAAATAACTTTTAGTGACTCTGCAATAATACTTAACATCATATTTGTTGTTGAAAACCCACGTGGTTTGCCAGTGAAGCTATGGCACACAGTGTGTGCCCAAGTGTCTGACCTCAACTGTAAGTGCACGTTTTCCTGCGGTCAGTGAAGGCAGCACAGTTCAGGGGCGGGTAATCCTTGCAGTATGGCGGACGATGGAGACAGTTGGAGCGGAGCAGTTGACAGCAGCAATATCGGCGGCCAGGAGGCAACGGCAGCGGGGTCGAACGGGTTCGGCCTAGGCGCCATGTTGCTAAATATCAGTATCGTGGTAGTGGCGCTGGTGGTGTGCGTGGTGCTGTACCGGCGGTGGGGTAGGAAACTCGTTTCTTACGCGGCCCAAGGCGACGCGGCCTCGGCGCTTCCCAAGATGCGGAGACGGGACTTTACCCTGGAGCAGTTGCGGGAGTTCGACGGGCTCCAGAACCCGCGCATCCTGATGGCCGTAAACATGAAAGTGTTCGACGTAACCAGTGGGAAGAACTTTTACGGAAAAGGTGAGTGGGCAGTAGGTGTTTAACGGAAATTGACAACCGAGACAGTTCCACCGCAATCATCCGGGATTCGCCACTTTTGTCCCGGGCCAAATATTTGGGCGCAAACCGCTGTGTTAGCTTAGCTGAGCTGTTGGGCTTTGTGTTTATGAATGAGATGCTAACTGTCAGATAAACAACACGGCTCATCGACTCATTGTGTGACTATTTTAGTGAATTCGTAATTAATGTCGATAAACGTATTGTCCTTGTTAGACAAAACGTGTGTTTGACGTGGATTCTGTGTTGAATGTTTGAAGCAGTTAGCATTTTAGCTGTTTAGCCTGTTGACGTGAAGTCAAACAATTTTGTTTTGCTTTCCACCGTATTTCTGACATTGCCTGTTTTTTAACAGTATTGTCTTTTTTAGCAGACTGGGTGTAATTTAGTTTAATTTTGTCTTGTTATTAATATTTTTAACTTATTCTTGTTTTAACTGCCTCACTGGCATATATGTCTATTTTTGTCTTTTATTTTACACCTCATTCTCAGACCGCCCAGTGATGACACTCTCCATTATATATCAAAATATTTTTGTAGAATTATTATATCTACGTTTTTGGTTATGCTTAACCTTTGTCTGACATTTAATTGTTGGTTGTTAACATTTATAATGGAATCATAATCCCTTTATAGCTACTTTTAAACATCCACACTATATATATGTTTTCAGCACAACGAAACAAAAACCAAATGAAAGACAAAAAGTTTTTGTGAAAATAATAGAAGATTTTCAGACACCAGTGAAACTAACCTTGTGTTGTTTCACTGTAGGCAAGGTAGGTATTTTTCCCCACTCTACACACCCTGCAGCGAAAACCTCATTCCAGTTTCAGCGTTCACTGTTATAAACAACATGAGCTGAACTGCAATTTTCTGCTGGTTGGAATACCAGCTGTAGAAAGTGAACAGCCATGTTTTGAACTTGTGTGCAGCTCTTTCTTCTTCAGTATGTTTTGTATGTCATTGAAATGCTTAGCTAGCTTTCTGTTTCACTTGTTCTCTGACACGAATCACACTCTGACTCTCAGATAAACTATAATTATTGTAGCTAACATTCCCAGTTGGTCGTGTGTGTCATGTCTGCTTTTCCACACTGAGGTCAGTTCAGTGCTTGGAGTGAGACAGAGTTAGAGCTGCAGCAGCCAGTCTTTATTGGTCCTTTAAAGTCCAGTGTTTTAGTGACACTTTGGACATCAACAATAAATTATTTCTCCTCCTCAGCTTTAATAAAAAAGTGCATTCGTTTCAACATATTTTTGTCTCATGAACCTTGGAAAGTGTTGCATTTTTTTTAACATAGGTAACAAAATTGGAGTTCTTGAAAAAATACATTTGAAGAAGTAAGTCACAGACGTTTGTGCAGCAGACCTGTGCTGGTGATTAGATGTCTGTGCTGCAGGTGAGATGTTTGTGCAGCTGCAGTTGTCATTTCCAGCTGACACTCCAAGGCTTATCACACATTATGGCTAAAGTCTGACTCATGTTTTAGTTTGTAGTGATTAAAAGCATGAGTGAAAATCAGCACACAAAAAGAAACATTTCCACTCCATTTTTCTCATTGCAGTATGGTTGATGTGTTCAGCTCTTTCGTTTGTTATAACCTACTTGTTGTGTACATTGAGAGCACATCTTATCTGTGAGCTGATAAAAAAGACTCTTTTAACTTCATGGACTTTTTACTGTTGCTGCTGCCTGGGTTTCTCTCCTGTGTTGCACAATTACTCGCTGACACCTTATAAGTATCAGATTGTCATTGGGAGGATGATGGAATTAAAATTCTTCAGGACAGGAACCTTGATGTTACTACATATATTTGTGATCAATGTCACTTTAATTATGGGTTCCTACAATCCTTAGTCCCATTGCTGTTCAACTGCTGTAGTTTACGTTTGAACATATGATGCAACCTTTTCCACCTAAACACCTGGACCACATATTTGAAATATTTATAACTACATCTCCATTTCCAATAATTTGAAATGACATTCTGAAAGAAAAAGGTCTTAATTTAGACATTTTACTGTCACCGACTCATTCAGTTTCCACAGGACAATCCTATTAATCCCACCTTTGAATTGTGTTAAGTAAAGGTTTTATCATTGGCTTGTCTCTGATTTTCTTTATGTGTAGCAGGAGCTTCGGTCACATGATGCAGGTTCATCTTAGTAAATAAAAATTAACCTGTTACTTAGGTCAGAGTACCCCACAGTGGTTGAAGTCCTCATATTCCATCTTTTTTGTTTTTTTTTTTCTTTTTTTCTCCAGATGGTCCTTATGGCATTTTTGCAGGACGAGACGCATCAAGAGGCCTGGCCACTTTCTGCCTGGAGAAAGATGCCTTGAGGGACGAGTATGACGACCTTTCGGACCTCACTGCTGTGCAGATGGAGAGTGTCAGGGAGTGGGAGATGCAGTTCATGGGTAGGCTGACTTATTTCTACTACAGATTGTGGGAATTAGAAATACCGTTATCATCTCCTGTTCTCAAAATACAACTACTGGGCGCTGTCATTCTTTTTTCGAATGGTCTGAACAGGCCTTAGCTCATTTGCTTAGACATACTGTCAAGTCATTATTCTATATCAGACATCAAAAACACACACTAACCTGCATCTCTCTTAACATCTGCAACAAAGAGGGGAAAGTGGAAAAGCAAATTTAAAAAGCCCCTACTGGATGATGAATTTTACCTAATCTACCTATTTAGCTTAGATTAGGTTTAAGTAGACCTGGCCTTTCAACCATGGCATGGAAAGGTCAGCAACACTAACATCGAACAAACTTGATTTTTTTCTCTTGGTTTTCAGTCATTTCAAATATGTGAAAATGTCCGAGCTAAAAATAGTTTTGTACTCCTGCTGCCTGCCACATGTGCAGTCAAAGGGCCGCAGCAGTAAAGCGCCCTTCACTGATTTTCTGCTGCATCATGCTGCTCTTCATTCAGAGATTATTTGGTGTGGTGTGAGTGTAAATGTGTTTTAAACCCAGTGTTCACATTCAGATCTGAGCCTGCTCTTTCATGTTGAGTCTATATTTGGTGTGAAGTGGCTCGGAGTAACGTCTGGTTGCTGCAGACTGAAATAACGACCATGTGAACAGTGTGTTGGCCAGCTTTGAATGTGACTCATTGAATGATAAAAGAAGACAAAGTTCTCACAGCGAGCTCACTTGACACTGATCTGCTTATTCAGGAGAAATATTAAGTTTGTTATTATTAATATTTGTGAAATTGAACAGAGCAACAGCAACTGAGAGCTGAACAAAAAGTCTGATTTTAAAGGTGTCTCTTCTTTAGTTACACACTAGCGGTGGGGTGTGTGCGGTATGTTTGTGTCATCACATTAAAATGTGACCTGTCTGTGTGTCTGACCTGGGTGTGGTTTGACCTATCCTTATGTAACAGTGCTGTAAAATCCACTGTCTGTTCTGTAGCTCTGCAAAAACCTCGTAATTGGCTTCTTCCTTTCCATACTTCAACAACTACGTGATATATCCTGATTTACCAAGTTTCAATTCAAGTTAAAAAACAGCAACTCTGGATAATATATGTATATCTGGACTGATACTCTCTTTCAGGACATCTTTTTTTTGTTGGGATTAAAATTGTCTGATTTTGTTGCAGCTTTTCTGAAAATCTGTGCATGTTGTAATGTGTTTGTGTCTTTGGCTTAAAATGTTAAAGACCCTCTGCTTTTACCGTTGACTGTGTGAGAAAGTTACCTTGTGATCCAGCAGATAGCGTGCAAGGCAGATTATTATTTGTGACCCCCTGTTCGTCATCAACTTAAAACAGATTTTTGAAAAGTCAGTTGTTGAAAACTGGCTGTTTGAACTACAGATACAATACTGCAGTACCTATGTATGTAGGCTGCACAATTGTGACAACTACTGAGTCAAAGGCATCAATGCAATTCCTCACCTTTGTCATTAGTTATCATTCGATATCATCGATATCATCGTTATCATCCTGTAAATGTTCACTGGTTTGTCACTACTCATAGTTGACCGTTGGTGGTTGATAGTTTTTTTTTTTCTTCTTTTTTTTTTCTTAGAAAAATACGATTATGTTGGCCGGTTGCTGAAGCCTGGAGACGAGCCATCAGAATACACTGATGAGGAGGACATAAAGGACCACCTGAAACATGACTGAGCGGTTCCATTGACTCAACCAAAGCCAAGAGCCCCTGAAACAGCTGCGACAGGACGCCCCTATCCCCCAGAGCTGCCCCATCCTGTACCTGCTATCAACAGCCCCCCATCAAACCGCTCCTGAATCTGTCCAGAACTTTGGGCGGTGGTCAAACAGAAAAAGACGAGATCCTCAAAATCCTCCCTCATTATCAACTGACAAACAGCAAATAAAACCCTTCAAAGAGGCAGCAAACAGATGTCAGGGACGGGGCAGTGAGCTCACCACAGGAAACCAACCTAAGCGGAACCAGAAATATATTTTCAGGGAGGCAGAGGTTTAAAAGCTGCTGGCAGAATTTAGTCAGAAACAGGCTGGTCTCAGGCCAGATTTCTCTCTTTATCTGTGGCTTAGTCACTTCACATCAGGAGCCGCTTCAGCTTCAGACAGCGTATCTATCTATCTATCATTCAGTCGGTCACTCAGTCATTTGTGTGTTGTGTTTAAAGCAGAGAGGGCAGCAATGTTGCGGTCTTACCAAAGGTAACAGGCAGGTGTTGCATTTTCCTGTTGTGTTTTTGTAGTGTATGCACTACTAGTTTTCTTTGTTTGTCACCATGTGATTTAATTGAATAGCATATAGGGAGAGATGCTGGGAGGGGGTTGTTTTTGTTGTTTTTTGAGCAGGATTGGAAGGGGCAGGGGGACAAAGATCCTGCCACACAAACTTGTTTTTTCAATCACATCACACAGATTGATGGGGAAACAAAGGGAAGGTCATGAAAGTCCTAAAAAGAAATCAATCGACTCAATTGTTTACATGCCTCAGATGCTAGCTGCAAGTCTGTAGATTCCCCTGAGAAATGGTCCAAGTATTAATCGTGCCTTATTTCGTTTGTCGTGTCCAGTCATGATGAGTGTGACGGAAAATAAATCGAAAAGGGGCAGAGGTGTCGCTCGGTTTTCCCTGTAGGCTTAGAGGAGATGTTAATGTTTATGTTGGGGGGGCGGGCTGTCACTTTTTAGCCAAATAAATTAATGTTATGATCATATTTGCCTCTGACTATCTGAAGTAGTGACCTTGGGATCCAGCAGGAGGTGCTCTTACCATTGAGGTAAACCTTTACAGATATATTGGACCAGTTTTATTTACATTTCTGTAGCTAAATGATAGTAATTGTCACCTGGAATAAGTAGTTTTGGTGTAGTATCATTGTTGGCCACTGGAGGTCGCGTCACAAACTCACTTCCATATATCCTTTCAACCATTCTGAAAAATGACACTTTTATAAAGTGTTGCTAAAAGACAAACCTTTACATTAGATTTGCCATACATATAGTTTTAGATGCATAACTGACAGTGGCCTGCAGGGGCAGGTGCCACATTATCACCAATGGTATCCACCGTCCGTTTCTGCAGTTAATTTTTTGTGTTATTCACCAAATCTTCTGGTTGTTGACATTGTGATAGAATCAGGTGTGAACAAAAGTTTGTCTTTTGGAGTGTAAGGACTTGTGTGTTTAGCTCCAACTAGCTTGTGTCACAAAAAGGTTACGTAGTGGTTATCTTCTGCCATGAACCCATCACGCGCTGCATCTCAATGCTCCTCCGTCCTTGACTGTATCAGGTCTTAACACTGAAGACGGGCTATACCGTTAGAGCTCAGATTACATGAATACAGCACGATGTTCCTTGTTGTGGAGGCAGTGTCCACATCAATAATGTCAGTTAAAGAAAGGTAGATGAGTGGGGCGCTAAATCTGTCACATGATTGATCAGAGGCTTTTTGTGATAGCAGCTCTTTATGTGTTCTTATGTGTGGCTTTTTGTCAAAAAACCTTTGCACATCATTTGGCCGAGAGTTATCAGAACTATCCAGCAGAGGGCACTGTACACACCGCTTAAACCTAGCTCCTCTCTTCGTCTGACAGTAAATATTCAGTGACGCTACCGTGTTGTTGTTGTCAGGATAAAAGTAAAATGAGCAGACAGAAGTGTCTGAGGAGCAGCATATTTTCGAGTAATACAGAACCGGGGAGTTTCACTACTTTGGTCATTTGAGGTAAAAACAAAACATAACAGCTGGTGTTTGTGTGACCTTTTGTGATCTATTTGGTAAAAGTGACAGTCCTTTGTTGATTCCGTTGACCTTTTAAGAGAAATGGGCATCCTGAAAAATGTGTGAGATTCTTGACTGACTTTGGTTTAAAACTGTGTCTCAACACTTCTCAAGTGTTGAGATCATTGTCGGCTCTGTCCGTTTCATTTACAAGGTCAATGGATCATTGGTCCTCACACAGAGTGTGATTTTTCTGCTCCTGCTCTTTGTAAATAGTTGTTCTAAATCCTTCAGTGTTACTGCCATACTTCTGTAGATGATGAACTCCATATACGTGTTCAGTGCTATGTCGTATCGGCCAAACCCGCCAAGGTTTAGGTTTTTGTTTCTTTCTTGTTTTCTGAACCTTCTGGTTAAATTTAAAAAAATGTAAAAGTAATAAAACAATTTAAAAAAAAGATAGGAGAGTTGCTAAGTGCTGCAGGGCCAGACCGGGAGCTTATGTTGTTTTTTTGTTTTGTTTTGTTTTGTTTTTTTCAAGCCATTGCTTTTCCTGTAAATATAGCTATCCTTTTATTAAAGGCATGTGCAACAACAACGTGAGCTATGCTGGAATTCCCACCACGTCATGTATTTAAATGTCAGGCTGTGTGAGAAAGTGTGTGTGTGTGTATGTGTGGGTCTGTGTGACAGAAGGGGTTTGTTCAAATGGAATAAACTGATTTGATTCATAAATACAGACTTCTGAGCATTTATATATCGTGACATTGCTTCAACTTGGTTGACTGTTGCTGAAAGATAAAACAGTAAAGATCACAGGTACTGAAATAAAGTCCATCAACACATAAACTAATAAGTATAGCAAAATAGCTCAAAGATGACAAGACATCAAAAGATTGACAAAAGTTCATAAAAATGTAAAAAGAATACAGTTCCCTTAAAGATCTTTGCATATTGACCAAAAAAAAAGAAAAGAAATTTGACCTGAAAAGATAGCCAAAAATAAAAGCTTGCTGAATTGTATCCAGGAACAGTTAAGCAAAACGAATTGATGGTTAATTGAGACAAATGGTAGTATTTGTCTTATTTGTATTAAGCCTGTAACAGGGTCATTTTCTTCACAGGTAAATTAGAACAAAAATGATGGTGTAGTCACGTAGAGGGGTTTTATTGCACCTCGTCCCAAGGTGCACAGTGACAAAAAAATACCTGATGCAAAACAAGTGAGGATAAAATACAAATAAATGCTGAATCTTTCAATAACTCAGACGTTCAAACAAAACTAACTCAAGGCAAGTTTCTTTCAGTACCTTGGTGTTGCTCCTAGCCAACTTGACATTCCCCTTCTCGCTTGCTTCTCAGGCACTCAACAGCCTTTGTATACTCATTTCAATAATTTCATTACTATCTTTGTAATGATTTGATGTTTGTTAACGTTTTTATTTTACACACCACACTTTCTTATTTACATTTATTTATTGCATTTTATAACCCTCTGAAGCTTACTTTTGTATAACGTTTTGGTTCATGGTTTGAACACAAAAACACTGGCCTCAGGCGGCCTCTTGTGATACTGCAACCCGGGTATGGGTCACCCCCAGCCCCTCCTCTCTGTTTGTTTGTGGAATGCACTGCAGGTCAAGCGGAACTGTGGGAGAGAAGTGCGCATCCTCTAACAGTCAGACAACAGCTTTGTTCATCCAGACCTTTTCCGTATGTACTGTCATCTTTACTTCACTCTATATTCGTGTGTATGTCTGTGTTGTTGTATTTAAACGAGCGTGCGCGGAAACGCAACATCGTCATTTCAAAATGGCGCCAAATATTGAGCAGCCGAGCCAGTGGCTCTGCGCTGTTGACGAAGGCTTCGCTACACCAGCAAAACAAAATAATCAGTGCTATTAACCCGTTCATAAATGCATGTAGCTCAAATTGATCACTGGTAGTAATGTTTTAATCTAAAGATTAAACTCAACCTTAAACAAAGAGTTTATGTTATCTGGATTTAAATATATAGAGCATGACATCAGAATCGACTTGACGTTTAAACGTTGCTTTTAGCATCCAGCTTCTGTCGCTTTTCGAGCGCCACTTGAGATGTTCTGCGCATGAGCAATTGTGGGACGTTTACGATTATTATGGGAAAAACTTCCAGGAATTTATACACCGTTGTATTTGAACATTTAAATTCGTAACCAGACGATGTTTTTTCCTGAAGATAACATTGTCTACATATTTGATGTTGGAAAGTCTTTAGACCTTATAGAAAAAGTTTAGGAAGAGTGATATAAATTAGCCACTGAAGAAAGAAAACAAGTCAAGATGCATTTTAAATTTGTTATTGGGTGCAATTTTTTTTTATTTCAAACCGTTATTATATTATATACGGAAGAAAATAAGCTTTGCATTACCTTTTGAAAATCCGAGTTTATTCTGGGTACGTGAACACAGCATAGCCAGTGCCGGAAAAAGCAAGTCGTTATCCTGCCGCACAGGCGCAAAAAAGGTCGGATTTCAGATACGATTGGTCTTAGCCGCTCATGCTAACCAACAACGTCAGCTATACGTACATGGTACGTATTAAAACTATAACCACGGCAACTTGATAAAGTTAAACGGATTTAAATGCAGTTGCTAATAAGTTATTCTGCAGTTTTATTTCAATTTCAATGATTCATATTTTGCCCGAGGGCGCAAGGAGTGGGTGGGCCCGCATGTTGCATAACAGAAGTAGTTGATTAGCGATTGCCAGTGTAGTTTAAACTGGAATTTTGCAGGATTCTGATGTTATATACGTTGCCTGAACTCTCACTGTAAATATAATATATCCACCTCACGTATGTTTATTTTTGAAAAATAAGGGTGAATTTACTATATGTTAAATTGCTACTGACTACAGTTAGCCGCTAGTTTAGCTTTACACAAATGCGTTTTTTTGAATAACGGACGTCGCAAATTCAAACCGCAACTGCTAGCTTGCTGTTAGCCACTGCGTACCCTGACTGTTGGTCTAAGGTTGATATCGCTGGTGTGTTTAGAAGCGTCCTCTGTGGTTTTTAGGCGCTAACAGCTGAGAAGAAGTGGAGTTTTCTGTTTGTGTGCAGCATGTGGTAACTTCTGTTGTCATCTCTCTTGGTCTCTTACGCACTCTTCCCCCCCTCGCTCTCAGTGTGTGCGTGTTTGTAAGAGTATACGAACGTCCCCCGAGGGCTGCGTTGCTGTCAGATAAACATAGAAACATGTGTAACTCTGTCAGTGTTTGGTTGTGTTTAAATTGTTATAATATACATTATAACATAAAGCCATTAATGTTATAATATACATTATAACATAAAGCAACAAAGGTCCTTATCTACCACCATTTTTTATCTTGTATACAAAAAACTTAATATTTGTTGTAATGTATTTTATTCTACGTTAATCAAATAGAACATTTTGATACATTCTGATTTTTACTGTTTATCGACACGAGGTGTTTCTGATTAATTAATTATGCATACGCGATGTTATTTATGGGTTATTTATTACTACATCAATATAAATATAATAAAATACAGTCATTTTTCATAATTGAACATATGTCGCATTTGTCAGCTTAATTCAAACTTTTCGACTTGGATCAGAAAGCTTTAGTATCAGTCCTTAAAATTTCTTCATCTCATTTTAAAGAGTTCCTACCTTGGTGCACATAAGACTGGCAACAATGAAGAGGAGCAGGCATCCCAGCACCAGTGATGAGTCTGACAATGGAAGTAAGTATAATGTATATTTCCTGCTGCTGAATCATCCACTCCACTCTAAATGTAGGTCATCTTCCTCCAATGTAGTTGTGAAAGTCTAAGAATCTGAATTGATGTTAGTTAGATTGGTCACTGTCGGCGTTTTTACCCTGAAAATGTTAGGGTTAGAGTCTGTAAATAAGTTTGCTTTTTGTTGGATTAATAAAAGTTAGATTTTTATCATCACACATTTAGTTTGAATTGAGGTAAGGCGTTCACAGATGTTTAATTTAGTTGTTTAGATGTTGTTAGATGTTTGAAATTTGGTTTCATATAGATGTAAAAATGTTTAAACATTGGTTTAACAAATTAGAATAATATGGTAATAAACAGTGAAAAGTGAATGTTAATGAAGTCCTGCTGGTGTTGACTTTGATCTTTTAATCGCAGGTAGCTCCACCTCCTGGTCCCAACATTCATCACAGCCAAGGAGGGGGACGGGACAGAAACCCTCTGAGGTAAGGGTTTCATTGTGAAGATAAATGGAGAACATATATTCTATTTTTTTTTTTTCATATTATTAAGTATTTTACTGTAATTAAAGTAATTGTTAGACATTTAGTTTCTCCTGAATAGTCTGTGAACATCAGGTCCTTTGAACATTGGCCAATCCATTTGAACCAAAACAACTGTGTGGAAAAAGCTAGCCACTGATTGGTTGTTTCCTTGTCAGCTGACTGACTGCTTCCTGTTCAGTGCTTTTGTAAACACTGAGTAAACATAAGGAAAACCTTAGTTATACATGAGAAAAGACCTTTGTCTTTATTGTATTATTATATTATGAGAACAGCAGTTTAAGTTTAATTTAAATCCCCTCTCCTCCCTAATTTATTTTTTAAATAATATCAAATAAAATATTAATTTTTTTTTTTACATTAAAAAGTTTTGAAGCATTTGTTGAACTTTTAAAACAGTCATTTTTATAAATGACATTATTTCATTAAAACAATATTGTTTTGTTTCTTGCTTGCATATAAATTATTATATTATTAGAAAAATAATATTCATTATAATGTATCTAATAGATTCTTGTTTTGAGGGCTAATCATCATTATAGTTTATTTTTTCAAACGTCACCTGATGTCCCCTACTCTTGCTTTTAGGTTTTCAGAACTGATCTGATCACAGCAATGAAGGTGCACGACTCACACTCTTTAAACCCAGAGGATTATTACATTCTAGCTGATCAATGGAGACAGGAGTGGGAGAAGGGAGTCCAGGTCCCTGTTAGCCCCCAGTCCATTCCACAGCCTGTCACCAGGTAACAACACAGGAGGGGAACCATTTAGATTTCGTTCGTGCACAACACCTTATTTGGGCAGTAGTGCATGGGTGGTTAAGGAAGTGGACATGGGTTCAGAGGGTTTCAGGTTCGAGTCCACCAGCTGCCAAGTTACCACTGAGGTGTTCTGAGCATGGCACTGTCCCCACGCACTGCTCCCTGGGCACTTAAAGCTGCCACTATTCACTTTGGTGATGGGTTAAAAACTGAGGTCACAGTTGGTTGTGTGTGCAGTGGTGAGCTGTGTCACAGTGACAGGAGTTCACTTTTTTAATTTGAAAATGAAATGGTTCCTACTAATTAAATTCCAGTGTCTGTTGTACGCTGCATTTCAAAAGAAACCCCCTCAGATTTTTAAAACTTCTACTTGGTTACAGTGTATCCTTTTTTGTTAAAGACTGTTATCATCTCTTCTTAAGCTATGTCCTTCAAACCTCAACACTTTCTCATTCTGCTGCAGGGTTTTGGCAGAGAAAGGCAGTGAAGTCATGTTTGTCCGACCAAAGAAGTTGATCAGAACGTCTGGAGCCGAGGCGCTGGGCTACGTCGATATACGGACTTTAGCAGAAGGGATGTGTCGTTACGACCTGGATAAAGAAGATGTGGCCTGGCTGCAGATCATCAATCGGGAGTTCACATCGATGGGTTCGTACCAAAACACAAATTGAAACTTTTAATAAACAGATATTCAGGAAGCAGTTCTGCAGACTGATAAACAGGTTTGATAATATTTTCTCTGACATTTGTTTTCAGCGATGGTGCAGCTAGATGAGATGACAATGGAGAAGCTGATGGAGGAGTTTGAACACCGCTGTTATGAGAACATGACTCATGCTATGGAGACGGAGGAAGGTCTAGGCATCGAGTACGACGAGGATGTGGTCTGTGATGTGTGTCAGTCACCAGACGGAGAGGACAACAATGAGATGGTGTTCTGTGACAAGTGCAACATCTGTGTTCACCAGGTCAGAACCAATGTGCAGACTCACTTTAAAGGGATAGTTCGAATATTTTTTTGCTGAGGTTTGGATGAGGTGATGTGTAAATGAAATTAGTCTTTACCTGTTGGATAACTGAGAGAATGACAAATGGTAGTTAACAGACAGGAATTGCCAAAATAGACAGCTGTAGATTTCAAGCACATGGTTTGTTACAGGCTTGTTACGGCATCCAGAAAGTCCCTACAGGCAGCTGGTTGTGTAGAATTTGTGCTCTGGGCATTCTGCCTAAATGTCAGCTGTGTCCCAAGAAGGGTGGAGCTATGAAACCCACCCGCAGTGGAACCAAGTGGGTCCATGTCAGCTGTGCCTTGTGGATTCCAGAGGTGAATATGATTCTTGTTATTTTTCTGTTCTACAATACTTTTTTAAAAATATTTGATGAAAAATTTCCATCCAAACAAATCAGTTGACAAATGATTTGACAAATCATTCGTTGAGTAAATCTTTAAAATAATGAGTGGAACCCTCAGTCACATGTCTAGAAACATTAATTAAAATCTTTTCAAAGAATCACTCACAGGCTCAATAAATGTCTTCTGTGCAGGTAAGCATCGCAAATCCAGAGAAGATGGAACCGATCACAAACGTGTCCCACATCCCCAGTAACAGGTGGGCTCTGATCTGCTGCCTGTGTAAAGAGAAGGCAGGAGCATGTATACAGGTAAGGAGCACCAGATAAACCAGTACCAGAAACCTTACTTGATTTCCCGACCCCTACATTAGATGTAACTGACACTTCTGTGTTCGTTCCAGTGCTCTGCTAAAAACTGTCGAACGGCCTTCCATGTGACCTGTGGTCTTCATGCCAAGCTGGAGATGAACACCATCCTGACTGAGGACGACGAGGTTAAGTTCAAGTCCTTCTGTCCCCAGCACTCAGGACTGGAAGGAGCTTTGGCAGGTGGTGAAGAGGAAGAGGAGGAGAAGGAGTGCATCAGAGATAAGAAGTGCAGGAGGAGGGGCAGAGTGAGTGGAGGGGGAGATAATAGTCGGTCTGCTCCCTCCTTTTCAACGGCATCTTCCCGTGCAGCTGCTCAGCTCACTGACAGAAGTGATCAACAAGACCTGAGCAGTCGTCAGCAGGAGAAAAGAGTCAACCTGCGAAAGCTAAAGCTGCAGGAGATGGAGGAGGAGTTCTACCAGTTTGTGGAGGTGGACGAGGTGGCTGCTCACTTGAAGCTGCCACCGGAGATGGTGGACTTTCTATACCAGTATTGGAAGCTAAAACGTAAAGCCAACTTCAACCAACCACTGCTAACACCCAAAAAAGACGAGGAGGAGAGTCTGGCCCGGCGGGAGCATGAGGTTCTGCTTCGACGACTGCAGCTCTTTACGCATCTACGGCAGGACTTGGAGAGAGTGAGTCTGAGAGGACATCGAGGCACAATGGAGATAAGAATGGAAAAAAGACACTGATGGTGACTTTGTGTTCAATTTTAAAATGGATTTCTTCTGCTCCCCAGGTCCGTAACCTGACCTACATGGTGACCCGCAGGGAGAAGATGAAGAGATCGCTCTGCAGAGTCCAAGAGCAGATCTTCCACCACCAGGTCAGGCTGCTGGACCAGGAGCTGCTGGACCAGGAGCTGCTGGACCAGGGGCTGCTCACAGGTCAGTTACTTTTTATATATATATATATATATATGAATATATATATAGATATATATATATAGATATTTAAACATTTAATTAACTCTACATATACATGTAATTTACTCTACATTAATAGTTAAGTGCGTTTGTGTCTTTCAGGAAGTCCTTTGCTTAAGGACTCAGAGAGTCTCTTGTCTTCGGGCAGTTTTTCTTCTCAGGACTCAAACTCTGGCTCCTCCTGGACTCAGTCTGGATCCAAAAGCAGCTCAGCTTCTATAAAGCAGAGAAAGAATAAGAGCAGGGATAAAAAAAGTCTGTGTGACTTTCCTCGCACCTCTCACAAGAAGGAGAATCTGAGCAAACCACTGGAGAACAAGGACAGTAAAAACTACTGTGTCAAAGAATGCACAGACGACGCTGGAGTCCAAAGTCTTGAGTCCGCTGACAAGACTTGCTTCCCCAAACTCCACAAGTCTGTGGTTTTTCAGGTGAAAGCTGAAAGCAGGAAAAGTGTGAAACGTGATAACAATCAGGACCATGAGGAGCGGAGGAGGAAAAGAAGGGTTGTGGAGGAGGAGGATGAAGAGATGAGCTTCTGCAGCCAAACCAGGAACAGGAGCAGATGTAAACATCTGGAAAAAACCGTGTCCATTAGACTGGTGGACATCCGGAGTTCGGACCATAACAACTTCTTCACTGAGGAAGGAGTAACCAGGAGAAACCCCGCCTCCCTGGCCTTTACCACCAACAGTAAATTTAACAAAGGCAGCCTGTCATCAGGCAACACTGACACTAAAGCTAACATTTGGATGAAGAAAAGCCAGGCTTCTGACAGAACGCTGGGAGGAACCGTCAGAGGCTGGGGAAAGTTTAGGATCCCAAAGAGGATGGAGAGACCACTGACAGTGAGAGGGAGGGAGGAGGAGCTACAGAAGCCGCTCCTTAGACCTCTCATCAACACACCCGTCACCTCCCAGCTGCGGACCAGACTCCGTGATGGCTTCACCTCTGACCCCAGGCCTACAGATGGTGAGGTGGAGCGATGTTCCAAACGCTACCACTCCCACCAGCTGAGGGGAGACACATCCCTCAGCCGTCGCTACAACTCTGACATCATCCGACGCGGTGTGCTGGCATCCTGATAACTGACCATAAGCTGCACCGTATTTGTGAATGAGAAGAGCGACTGACGGACTGTCAGTTGCTTTTATTTTTCTTGATCTGTTAAAATGCCTAGATTTAAAAAAAGAAACAAACAGAGCTGGTATTTATTTTTTATTTGTAAGATATGTAAAAGTGGGAAATATTTTACTTTTTACCTTATTTTGAGCTAGTTTTATTTTTTAATATTTTCAAAGAGCAGTTTTTTTATGTGGATGTAATATCTGTACCGCTGCCCCCTTTATTCATTTTTTTGCAACTAAGCTAAATCTAAAAAAAAAACAAAAAAACAAAAATTCAATCACCCAGGTCACCAGTAACACAGTTGAACTCACTAATGAAGTGAATAAGCTAGTATTGTGTCTACGTACATTTTCCTATAGACCTTGATATGACTTGATAAGAAAAGTTTACACCAGTGTAAGAAACCTGCTATTTTATCAAACAAGCCTTTGATTTAGAATCTATGGTCAGTTTACCCTGAGGTCTGTTCCTGCAGCTGTGTTCTCAGCAACAGCCACGCTGTTTCTAGACGAAGACCAGCAGGGGGCACTTGTACATTTCAGGAGGTATACATTTTACATCCACACTTCAGAAAACTAGAGTCTAAATTATCTCTTTACAGTAGATGATGTCAAGTTGCCACTCAAAAATGCTCTCTGAGATATTTACAAGAAGCAGATTATTTTTTTGGGACCACAGGCTTCGATCGTTGTTTGTATTTGACATAGTAATAACAGAGAACTCGACCACTTGTCGACTGCACTTAAAGGAAAAAAGCTAAACAAATAAATATTAGTTCAGTCTGTCGCTCGCAGGGAAATGGTTTTACACAGGAAGTCACGCTGCTCCCTGAATTCATCATAAGAATCAATGTATAAAAGTCGTCCTTTTGTTCAGCACTTATTTGTACGGGAACTACGGTCGACTAGTCTCCAACACGTGCCTAAAATTTAATTTGAAGTTTGCACTACCAGAGAACAGAGCAGGTGTGAGAGTAGATTTATTTTTTACACTGAAAAAATCTTTTGTATCCTCAGCCACTCCTGTGCTACTACTGTTATGCAAAATCCCTAAACTCTTGTTCTCTTTGTCAAAAGGAAAGGAATAAAGGTTTCTGCAGGACTAAAGAAAAGAAAAGGTCTGTTCTCTGCCTTCTTCGTGAATTTTAGTTTGTACTTGTTAATGCCTTGTTAACACGTGGTATTTAAAAAGCGTTTTGAAAAACAATTTGGAAAATACATTTTTTGGGAATATTTTAGCAAAACCCCAATTTTTTATCAGATTTTGATGAAAATGTTAGAATTTGTTTTTCAGAATTTTATCTTTTCTGCATGTTTCTCATCAAAATATGGTGTTATGAAAACAATTTTGAAAATGTTTTTTTTTTATTTTGCTCAAAGCCCAAATATTTGGTTAGATGTTGAAAATTCTGGTGAAAATCATTTTTGAAAAATCTCTTTGAAATTACCATCATGCAGAAAGGCAGCATGTTTTAGGACATAGTCTT